TATCCTTTTGAATGCCAGGGATGCAGCCTTGCATCACTCCAGGGCAGTGGTTGAAAGGTTTAATATAAACTGTGACATTTCATAGTTCGTTTTTGTTCAGTTTGTACGTGGGTGTTTGTGCCAGCGGTGCTCGTTAGTGCAGGTGCCAAGTGCTATCTCTCTCCTTGTCACTGATGCCTGACAATGTTTACACTGAACGATTAATATGAATATGATTTTGTTACTGCAAGCTTTTGGAGAAATAATTTCCGGTAGATGACAATGAAATGATATGGTAGTATGTTTACATAGGAAGTGGCTGCTAGTTGGGCGAGATCACAAGGAAGTCATAAAATGAAGAGGGTTCAGGTAATGTCATAAACTATAAGGTTCAATTACCAATGGTTCCTGAGAGTTAGATTGTTAGTTTGACCCAAGAGTATCTATTATTTTATCCTTATATGTACTGTTAATTAAAAACTTTTTTTTTAACAAAATTCTTCGCTTGTCTGTTGTGGAGCTGACTGCAGCAGTTAGTGCGAATTGTATAGTTAATGTGTGATGATATTCAGTTTGAAGGATAAATGATTGAGACGTTTAATTGCAAGTTGATGAAGAAATAATTTCAGTCTGATTACTGGGCGACTCTACGACCAGATGTATTGTAATAGTACAACATCTTGTGATAGTTTGTAGGTCATTGCTGTCTGCAAATTTGGTGCCACGTTCACCTACAAAATACCCAGTCACTACACTTTAGAGTATATCCTCAACGTGCATTGGGACATCCCCCAATGTGAAAGGTGCTGTGCCAAATGTAAGGATTGTTGTTATTATTTAAAGAATAGTAGTGGAGGTTAAAACAGGAACACCAGTAACACTTCACCAATGTAACATATAGAAAGTTAATAATAAATATATAGTAGATGGGATTCTCAGGATAGATGGTTTCTGGGATTTATCCACTTTAAAAGAGGGAGAGGACTTCACCAACAAATGTTTTAAACTTTTTATAAATCATCCTATCACTTGCATACACATGGAACCCAAACACCATTTCCCAGTTCTGTGTTCAAATGCAGATCACAAACCCATCCGTTCCTCCTCACGGTATTTCTTCATTTCAGACTGGGTCAAGTCACCCTTTCCAGTGTTGCTAAGCGATGGAATCCACAGCCACTAACATGGAGGCAATGGTTAGGAGGAACCGAATGATTTATAAAGAAAAAAAAGTTGTAAACTACAAAATAGAAAGATGGCTGTTTAAAGAATGAAAATCAGGAGACAAAATACTGACGGGGATTACAGAATGGGACACAGCTGATCTACTTTAGAAAACCAAATAAAATCAACTATCCATTATCACTTCCTTTGAAAAGCAACGAATAATGTTATTTACTGTTTTATAAATTCCTTGACAGGGTCCCAGGGACCATATTTATTAGACTTTAAACTCGTAAATGGGACAAACCATGACCACTGAATTTATGGCAGTTCCACACAAAACTCTATAGAAATGTCTTTTGTGAATACAGTTGCCAGAAGTTTACCTAAGCAATTTATTGTGAAGACATTCATTTCCATTTCTTACAAGCATCCAACAACCTTTGATGTGTGTTTTGTATAATAGAAGATGAAGATAGGGAATTCGGTTTTGATTTGCTTCCACCCAACCTCTTACTGTAAACAGTATTGCAGAAATATTGAAATGTTATCAACCGTTTGCTTTTTTAGGGATGAAATGCATGACTGTGGTTGCATTTTATAACCTTTACATGGAAGGATACTTAACTTTGTTGGTCTCTGCTATCATGTGCATAGAGAGGTAAATAGACAGACAACCCTGGATTTGATACAGTGCCTTATCACGTTGTCGAAATGTCTTAAAATGTTTTACAGAATTACTGTAGTGCAGTGACTGTCTATTTGTAGATGAACACAGCAGTCAATTTGGACACAGTAGTGTCCCACAAACTTATGAATCTACCTTGTTTCAAGGCAATGGCTACAGCAACTTGCAATATTTTCGAGGAATTACTTTTATTGCTGCATGTCCCAGACTGAATTCACTACCTGCTCTGAGAGTTCTGTAAAACAGCAACCCACATTTATACTGCTCCATACGATAACACTGTGCTCAAGCAAGGTAGACTACACAGATTTTTTGCAGTTATAAACTGTGTTGCTTTTGCACTTTTAAATATTTAAAGTATTTCTGGTTAGGGGGTCTTGTTCAAAGGAATCCCGTGTACAAGAATGTAGGGTTGATGTTTTTACCTACAATAGTTTACAACAATACTGCCTTAAATTCAATTTAAGTTCACTGCCAGTTCAATACTGAAGATATAAGATTGCGCAGGATTGCAAAAGGTCATTAGTAAAATAAAAGAGATGAGGTACTCCATCTCTCATCCACCTCAATCGATCTGTTCACCAAATGGGTTTCTAATTTCGCTGTTGAGTTTGCTGATATCAGTTGCCTCTTTCATCCTCTCTGTGGGACATCCATTCTGCAGTTATTACATTTTAACAGCTGACCTTCCTTCTCTAGGCTTCACTACGTGGCTCCTGATTTGTGACTCTATTAAGCATATTCTTAGGGTCCCGTTTAATACATATTACTCACTGCCATTTTAGGTCGAAGACTGGTTGGCACCAACTAATTTATGTTTATTTTACGTTACTATGAAGAGAACATTACACAGCAGATAATGTAATCTGCAATTTATTTAATTCATGCAAAAAGCCCTTGAAAACCATTCATGAAGTCAAATCCATGTTGAAACACGTAAGATGCAATATCCTACATGTATCAGCATGAAATTGTGATTAGAAATTATGCCATGACTAATCAGTAAGGCGGTTTCGTAGAAGAGCAAAATAGAAACTACACAAAATTGCTCGGATTTTGCTGAAGCTGAACTGAGGCAAATCCTGACATATCTGGTGATGTTCAAGTGCTCCCTCCGCTGGAATACTGTGGCATTGCAAAAACGATTTTATTTGCGTTGCAAGTGATTCGTGGAATTAATGCAAAATGTTTTTTGTGTGCATTTGTATTGTAACTCATGAAAGAAATGCAAGTTACAAATTCGGGGGTGTTCGCTTTTCATCTAATCTATTTCATGTCATGGTCGATACAGTATCTGTGAAGTACTACGTTTTGATATACGAGAGTAATATCAAACACAGCACTTTCCACTTCTTAGGGGCGGTGTTAAAATCTCATATTAATCTTTTTCTACATTTCTATTTAGAAGTAATTAATTCTCAATAAAAAAAATATACAAACTTCATTATGAATTGAACATTCTCCATTTCCCTCTTCTGAGCAGATTCTCAACTAACACTTTAAAGTCCATTATTACACCGAGCTTTATATTATTATAGGTTGGCCCTGGATAGTATTTATCCACAGTTCTAAAGATGGATGTCTCAACAAAATTATTGCCCTCGCCTAACCCTGATTGATTTGGGTTAGATTATTGATTGTTAGATGTCAGCCTGGCTCAGTTGGCAGAACCTTCGCCTTTCAAAGAAGATTGTGGGTTCAAGCCCCATATCTGCACTTGAGCTCAGATTGGCACTCCAATGCACTGCTGGGGGAGTGCTGAATTGTCAGAGATGCCACTATTCGGATGAGATGTTAAACAGAGATCTTTTCTGCCTGTTCAGACAGACATCAATGAGCCCACTGCACTATTCAAAAAGAGAAGACAGTTTCTCCTGACCAATAATCTCCCTATAAACTTGTTCATTTGGTTCATGGCTAATTATGGGGCATTGCTATACGCAAATTGTTGGCCATATTTGCTTACAAAATACACAGTCGTTATAGTCTAAAGTAAATCCTATGAAGTGCTTTTAAATGTTTCAATGGCATGATAAGGTCTTGCATTAAATGCAAGGATTAATCTATAATTCTAAAATTATAAAATTATTAGTTTCCTTTTAATGTGAAGCTTGTATCAACAAACCTAACAAATTTTAGATTACGTCTCAAAAGCACTTGACTCTGAATCAAAAGAAGTTACCTTAATTCTCTATTGATCATCGGTGAGGCATTTTTTGGAATAATGTGTTTAATTTGGGGCACCCTACATTCCAAAGGATATTGGTGACTTGGACAAGATTCAGAGAAGGTTTGATCTGCATAAATTATGAGCAGAGGAGAGCTTGCAGAGCTAAAAGATAATTTCACAAAGACATAATCAGGATTTTAAAATGCTGAGTGACAAAGATTGTGAAACGCAAACTATAGAAAGTAGATTTAAAATCTAACGGGGATAGGATTTGTTTCCCCCACAGAAGCGTCGAGAGGAAGAGATTCTTGAACAAAAAGCAGTCGATGCTTTGTCAATTGACTCTTTCAAATAAAAATAATTAAATGATTATCTTTGGAATAATTGCTATCGATCCATAGAAACATAGAAACAGGATGAGGCCATTCAGCCCCTCGAACCAGTTCCGCCATTCTAAAAGATCATTTCTGATCTGTATCTCAAGTCCAGTTACCCACCCTTGCCCCATATCACTTGATATCCTTACCTAACAAATATCTATTTACCTCTCATCCATAGGTAGGAGGATGGAATACAAAAGTGCTTCCTCCCTTCTCCCACACATCCCCTCAAAATGCTAATCCATTGTGCGGTTTCCAAGACTGTATCTTCTTGCCAAGAAATAACTATTTCAAACTTTATTCCCACCTTTTAAACAAAATACTTCCTGACACACAGAAATGTGCTGATGTCAAGAAAGTAACAAAATGTTTCGAATATAGTACAAGTGTTCTATATAAAGTTCAGTTGCAGGGATGGTGAGAAATATCAATCAGTCTACGATAAACTAACACAAACTTCTAACTACTGTATTATGTAACTGGGTCTAAATGAACTTTAATACCGGATGTTGCCTTTGGTAATCAGCAACGGTAGTGTTCGCTGTATCACTGCTCTTTAATATTTACTGTGTAACATAGATTGACCTTTGATTCATTTTGAACTCTCAGCTGCAGACGACAATATGGAAGCGTCGGCACAGAGCAGAAAAGAACAAGCAGGTGATTTTGAATCCCCAGGTCCCACTCTGACTTTCAGTAACATCAGCTATGCTGTGAACCTGAAGAAAACATTCAGTATCAAGAAAGGAGAGGAGAAATGGATCCTTCAAAATGTAAGGTAAATATTCTACTTGTGTTTAGCACTGCAGTGGCAGTGTAGAATCTTCAGGTAAATTTCCAAGATTGTTATGTAAAAACATTACATACCTCACAGATAACTATTCCTACTTTACAAGGGAAAAGCCTCGGATTAACACACAAAACGACCGATTACTCGTCAGCTCGTATTCCAATACATTTTCATCTTTGGAAATCATAAACTTTTAAAATTGTGCTTAAATCCAAAAATATATTGATTTTGTTCTCGGACATGCATTCTAATTGATGCTTTTAGTTAAGTTAACTGAGCCACGAAATGGCATGATCTTAACTTGAAGTTCCACTGATATCAAATGTAAGAATCATGTAGAATTTTTTTAAAATCCGTAAGGTTTAATCTTAATGGACAAACTGTTTGATCGCAGTTCTTGAAAAGGCTGAAAATGATTATAACTGAACTAAAAATACCAATTTAGCAAATAATGGAGGATAGTAATAAATGGGGATGTGTACTCTTCAAGCTGGTTGCAATTCACAGCAGGGTATCTTTTTCAGTGGGATTATGAAGCCTGGCATGAATGCTCTCCTTGGACCAACGGGAAGTGGCAAAACATCGTAAGTAATATACAGTAGAGCCTTGAACTGTCAGAATTGTAAACGCTCTAATGTTTTCTCATGGTACTGTACCAACAAAAAGATGTCCCTTGTTTTTGAAGGCTTCTGGATGTGCTTGCTCACCGGAAGAACCCCAAAGGGATTAAGTCAGGGCAGGTTCAACTGAATGGTCAATTCGTAGACTCAAGCTCTCATCAACCCTCTGCTTATGTAGTGCAGGTGAGAATGATCACACATTGTCATGATATGAACAATGTTGACCCCTTAGTTGCTGGCAATATTGTGAAGATGGCCAGTATTATGTCAATTAAAGTATCAGTTAAAATACTTTCAAAATGTATATGTACATATATATTACAAACAATTTGTGTATACATGAACTTTTTTTTCAAAACTAGGATGATATTTTAATGGGAACGTTAAGTGTGAGAGAAAATCTGGAGTTTTCTGCTAACCTTAGGTTATCGAAAAAGGAATACAATGCTGAGGAGAGGCAAAAGAAGGTGAATGAGGTCATTCAAGAGCTTGGATTACAAGACTGCGCTAGTACCAAGGTACATCAATTGCAAGGATTTTTTTTATGATTATTTATTTTCAGAACAAACAACTCTTACCTGCTTGGCATTCTACAAAAATGTATTTTGCACCTACTCACTCACTTTCATTAGCTTTTTGAAAACAATGTGCTTTTGTTGCTGTTTTTAGTGAAATAAGACTTTCTCTTCTCCTATTGTTGGATGCAATCCAGGGTATCCCTCCCTCTACTTATGTAATGCATCAGTTTAAATCAGCATTTTGTTAGTGGCATTTTGTTTTTGGTCAGGAGGGTGTCGTTGCTTAAGAGTATCCAAACCCACCTAAACATGAAAATTCCTCAGATAGATTGTTGGAATAGAATGTGCACTCTCTCCCTGGAGGGATGCGTCCTGTTTTCACAATTCCGGAAAGTATTAGGCACAGGTTAGCAAGATCCAAGGCTTGGGGCCCCCAGGATGTGCGCTGGGTTATCTATTGGAGTCTAATCAGCTAAAAATGCATAGTTTGCCAAATGGAGTCCTGTAGCTCAGTGGTTAGAGCGCTCGCAAGCGAGAGACCTGAGTTCAATTCCTGGCTGGGCGAAATGTTGGGCAAGTCTCCTTACTCCACTCGCCTCTGTTTGGAACCCAGTTGTTAGTCAATTGGTGGATCGCTTTTCCGAGGGTAATAAGTCCTTCAAAAAAAATAATAATAAATTGGTCACTTCAATCCACGACTGTTTGTGGGGCACTCCTGTGCGTATTTGGCTGCCATGTTTCATCCACAAAATAGACAGTCAATTCACTTTAGTTTATTCTGTGAAGCGCTTTGAGATGTCTCGAAGATGTAATAATGCGCTATATCAAATGCAAGAATTATTATTGATATTGCTGTCTGGCAAGCTTTCCCGCAACTTGTCCAGCTAGGACCTCCCTACCCATTGGGGCTTTGGTTTGCCACAAGCAGCAAATAAAATTATTTACCCAAATGTCTGCAGCTATATGTNAAAAAACATTGAAATGGTTTAATTTTTTGTATTGTTGAAATCTTCAGTTGTTAATCTATTCCTGCAATGCTAGATTGGGACAGAATTCCTTCGCGGGATTTCTGGTGGAGAGCGAAAACGCTGCAGTATTGGAATGGAGTTAATTACCTCACCTTCCCTGCTCTTCTTAGATGAGCCCACCACCGGACTGGATGCAAACACAGCCAATTCCATCATGCACTTGCTTTACATGTAAGTTATCCCATTGCTTTGGTTATTTATAGCCACCTAAAAATAGTAAACCCTAGTTAAAGCTAATTTATTGCTATATGTCATATCTTTAATATTGCCTTTGTGCAATTTGTCAAGTATTAGGGCATGTAAGAATACCTGAATGTAAATTAATGTGGAGACTGACAGAACAAATTGTTTTGGCTTGGAAGGAGCAAAGCTATCAAAAATGGGTTGGTAACTGAATTCATAATCTTGATAAAAGGTTACACTATGTGTGGGCATGTATAGAATGAGTAAATGGGGAATATACCATGGTTTCAAGAGATACATGACTCGCATTATAATATCTCAATGTACTTTGGATGTCATATACATTTTCTCAATTTTATTTGATGCTAATTGAACTTTCAGATCAAAACAAAGATAATTTTTCTGCAATTCTTGTAACATTAGTTGTAATTGTTTGGGACCCACACACCTATTACTTTACAGTACTGACTACCCTTTACCTGTATCTGCAGCTAACTGGCATAGTTTTGTTTGTTTCATGGTAAAAATGAAAGAGGAATAAATTATGTGTTTCTCAGACAAAGTCTTTAGTTATTCCTCCTTAACATCAAATTGAAGCATGTTGACTATGAAAAACATTAATGATCAGTGCCTTGTTATCTTAGTCAGAAGACCGTTCAAGCTGGTATTACGTGCTTTCCTTCTCTAAATGAACCACAACACAATACCTCAAGATTGAGATGACTAGAAGATTTGTGATTTGCAGGTTGTCTAGAAATTCTCGAACAATAATATTCTCCATCCATCAGCCTCGGTATTCCATCTTCAGACTGTTTGATAGTTTAACCTTGATGAATAAAGGTCAAATCATATACCAGGGGCCTGGTGCAGATGCTCTTGACTACTTTACAGAAATTGGTAAGAAATTTCAATACTTAACATTTGTTTGTGTTAGCTCACCTGGAGCGGGATGAAGGTAATTGAGAAATCATGTTTAGGATCAAGTTTTCACTGAGTAAGGAATAATACAAAATCTCCCTAAATCTGTTACCCCAAAAATAAATTGCTCAGTTTTTGATTTTAGTTTTTATAGGTTGAATGGTGAATTAATACCAGCTGATGCAGTACTCAATATAACACAATTTTGTGCAGTTGCCTTACATCAAGATATATTACATTTTGTAATACAACCTATGAAGAGCTTTGAGACGTATGCCTGACATCAAAGCACTGCATAAAATTTAAAGATTATTATTTTTGTATCCCATCTGTTTAGAATGCACATTTTTTGTTTGAGATGATAGATTACGTGTTTCTGATTGCATTGCCTAAAAAAGGGTTTGGGATAAATTTCAAAACTGAAATATAGATTGGTTGGAATAGAGTAATACACAGCTTGCTAACCTTTGTTTGAAATTGTGCTTAGAAATATATAACTTTGTTTAAAGTCATAACCAGGCTGGCCACAAATGAGACAAGACCTCACCATCACAATCTGTATGTCAGTCTGGCACACTCTCGCCTCTGAGTCAGAGGTTGTGGGTTCAAATCCTGCGTTGGGACTTGGAATCATATAGTCACATAGTCTAAGGTGACGCTCCTATGCAGTGCTAGGGGTGTGTTGCATTGTCAAAGGTGATGTTCTTCCATCTGCCTGTTCAGGTGAACGTTAAAGATTCCATGGCACTATTCGAAAAGAGAAAGAAATTTCTTCCGGTGTCTTAGCCTAAAATTCACTCCAAGGCTGTTACAGTAGCCTCATATGCTATCCCATTTTGTCAGTCATCCTCTTGTTAATGGTCGTAATCTGACAGAAATGTTTCCAGTTTGAGAAAAGTTTCTTCTCAATACTTGCAGCCCCTCCCCCTTTAGTGGCCATAACACTTTCCAGGTATAATCACCTTGCCATTAATGTCACTTTTTCAAAAAAAAATTCCTCTCTGGTACTGTTCTCATTTTCTTATTGTTTTCAGTGTATCTGTCACGAGTTGGTAGCCAGCGAACAAGATCTTGGGATGTAAAACGATGTTCTAGCAAGTGTTAGTGAACCTGTATACATGACTCATTCAGTCCCACCAATTCTGTGTTATAAGATAAGGATACAGAAGCTGAATATGATTACACTGGAGAAGTGAAAGCTCGGGGAAGATCTTACTGAAATATTCAAGGCATAGATAAACCAACCAACCAAGTTTCACATACTTGCAAACTCGAGGGGATACATTCTTGAGCTCAGGAAAGGGAAGGAATATAAATAAGGTAGTTTTGATTTTTTGGCGATCAGCTGAGTATCGGAAGCCCACCACAAGAGTGTTCACACCAAGCTGCTGAGTGCTCCTCATAAATTGCATGGTTTGGGTATGTTGTGAACACAATCTCCCAAGAGCGTGCATTGGAGACCTGGGTTCAATTCCCGGCAGGGCGAAAAGTTGGACAAGTTTTCTTATTCCACGCACCTCTGTTTACCTAGCAGTCAGTAAGAACCCAGTTATTAGTCAATTGGCAGATCACTTTTCCAGGGGTAATAATTCCCCCCAAAATAATAATAAATTGGTCATTCAATCCATGACTGTTTGTGGAACACTGCTGTGCACAATTGGCTGACGTGTTTCGCCCACAAAATATACGGTAAATTCACTTTACAATATATTCTAGGAAGTGCTTTGAGACGTCTTGAAGACTTGATAAGGTGCTATACCAAATGCAAGGATTATTATTATTGATATCTTGACGTATATTGGTGTTTACAAGGATTATGACAAGAATGCATGTAAATTGCTCATTGATAGGATTCAAGTGTGAACCTTACAACAATCCTTCAGATTTTTTCTTGGATGTCATCAATGGAGCAGTTACATCTTCCCTTGAAACTCCCAATTCAGGTGAGAACTAAAATGTTTTCTTTAGTTCATTATAAATATCTAATACTGTGCACCCAGTAAGAGACTGCCAATTAGAATTTAGAATATGCCTATGATGTAAGTTATGGGAAGGAGGAACGAGACAAAAATCCTAAGAATATGTCATAGGTTATGACGTTTGTTAGCAAGGGTGGGATGAAACCTTAGGCAAATTTTCTTGCTCTCTGTTTACCTAGGAGTATGTAGGAATATGTGGGAACCCAGTAATTTCACCATTACCAACAATTACCTTTATATGAGGGTTTATTTACAGCATGACGGAAATAACTCTAACATGTTGTTTGCAAGTAAAGATATGATTTTTTTCAAGCCCCAGCCATCACTACTTACGTAACAGTGGATTCCAGCTCTGATAAGAACCACTTGGTCCATCGTTATGAGCAATCTCGCTACTATGACAAGGTTAAGAAGGAACTGAAACAGTTCTACAAACCAAGAAACTCAATGTCAAAAGTAAAAACAAAATCTTACCCAACTTCCTTTTGGAACCAGGTAGGTATATCTCTCTCCTGTATTTTTGTTGGTTACTTGCTCTTATTAATTACAGATCCAACATAAATGTAATCAATGTTTTCTCATTGTGCGTCACTTGAAGTGCTAATTTTTCTTCTTCATGTTATCAATTTATTTTTCTCACTCGTATATTTAGCTGTATATAGTAGGTGGGCGCACTATGAAGAATTTCCTACGAAACCCACAGACTTCAGTTGTTCAAGTGTTCATGATGATATTCTTTGGTATTTTGAATGGGCTTATTTTTTTTCAAATACCCAACACAATGCCTGAAGCTTTGCAAAACAGGTAGGACAAACATAATGATATTATAATTGATATAGGCACCACTTTACAAAATACATTTCTTTAAGCATTATCAATTATTTAATTTCCAAACAATTAAAGTGTTTTGTAGTATATGTGTAAATGTTATTTTCTTGCACTACCCACTGTTCAAGTCTCCTTTTGTTCTGTGCCAAAGGCACGTCAAAAGGGAAAAGATTTTGTTCCCAGGTCTCTGTAAAGACACTGGAATATTGAAAAAATGTATAGAATGATGAACAATTCAAATTTGTCCTCTTCTCAGCTTCTCACCCTTCCAACCCTCTCTTAGCATTATCCACTGACCAGATATGGCTAAATCAGGATACAACTGTGGTGTAAAATTGTGTTCCCTAAATAATAATAATAATAATCCTTGCATTTGATATAGCGCTTTTCACGTCGGGAGGACGTCCCAAAGCGCTTCACAGAACACACTGTAAAGTGAATTGACTGTATATTTGTGGGCGAAAGCGGCAGCCAATTGCACACAGCAATGTCCCACAAACAGTCGTAGATTGAAAATGACCAATTTATTATTGTTTTTGGTTTTGGAGGGATTATTATTAGGCGTGTGGAGTAAGGAAACTTGCCCAAGGTTTCGCCCTGCCTGGAATTGAACTCAGGTCTCTCGCTTGCAAAGCGAGTGGTCTAACCACTGAGCTACAGGACTCCAAATGATACTGCATTAAACTGATATGATATACCACAAAGTATCACCCCCAGTTCTCCTTAACTTTATCCTCACATTAAATCTCATTGGTGCTTCTTTTGATTTTGCAGAATTGGTGCTTTTTTCTTCTTGATAATCAACCAAGTTTTTGGCAACCTTTCAGCCGTGGAACTCTTCATAAAGGAAAAAGTACTCTTCATGTAAGTTGATAAGAGTTGTTCTTATGCTCCAGCTCTGCCATTGTTAAGCATTCTGAGACTCTGCCCTGCGTGGATGGCATTGTATAAGTGCAAGTTGTGTTGTTATGCGGCATATGGTAGATGAATAGAAAACATAAATTACATTGTCACAAACATACCAAGATATCCCTCCCCATTAAAGATCACATGTGCCTAGCCAACAATCCTCCAGATTAATTTATCATCACTTCATAGGATTTTACAATCTTGATGTGGAAAAAATCAGTCCATTTGTCTATGAATAGAGAGTAACTGTACTTGATAGCAATAACCCATGACATGCTTTGAGGGGTTTAGACATTGCTGGGATTATTATTATAGATGCAGCCACTTTCTGTAATGAAGTTTTCATGTTTTTACTGTATCATACATGAACTGAAATGCCAAAATTATATTGTTACATATAAGCACTTGTTGTAGATCTTCCACTAACCCCTTCATTTATTTTCTGGATTTTGAGAGCAACTGATACTTTTGGAAATTTTTCCACAACAATAACAATTTGCATTTATATAGTGCCCTTCAATCGGGGTGGCATTTCGGATATTACAGGTGACATGTCTTGTAGCCTTTTCCGCTGCCTCTTTGGCTAAGAAGATTATTCTGAATCAGAACATATAATCTTGGTTTGGAAATTATGTATCAATATGTATCACCCAAAATTATATTACTTTGGACTATGTACCATCCAAGGGTTGTTTTGAAGACTGCTATGCAACATTATATGGTTGCTTACAGATTTATATATAGCAGACAAAAACATTCACATGTTTCCTCATGTGAAACTCACATCATATATTTGCTATGCTGCATTTTTTTTATTGATAGAGTGCACAACAAATAAGGATTACAAATGTCAGAAATGAAATAGTAACAGTTTGTGTACAGTGCTTGTCCAGCCTTCACAGATAACCTCAAAAGCATTATACTATGAATGGCATCAATATAAGTTATCATCAGTGAATAACTTTTTCAGTGTATTTTGATTTTTCAAATGTGTTATTTTTGTCAATTTATTTTAACACAACCGTATTTGAATGATTTGTTCGGAAGCCTATTGTTTGCTCTTTAACCTTCATGTAGCCTTAGAACTGGGTTCATAAATAGTTTAAGGCTGACAGTGCTGGTAGCTGCCCATTTAAGTTACACAGTTGAATCCAAGGCGTTGTCAGCAACATAAAAACAACACATTGGTTCCCAAGTCATCATGACTCACAATATTTTTTAACATTTTAGCTCTTTTGAGTGCTGACCAATTTGCTACTTTCAAAAATCTGCTTTGTAACCTCATAAGGACAATCAGCAATATTGTAATTATATTCTGTACAATGTTATGGTATTCTAAATTTGAATGAAATATATAGGAGTGAACATTTCTTGCATGAGCAAAGTGAAAGACTATCTTACTCTATTCCTAAGGCTTGTGATACATCCATGTTACAGACAATATAAATTTATTTTAAATAGACATGAAAATTCAAGTGGTTATTACCGGACCTCTGCATACTTCCTATCCAAAATCTTAATTGATCTGATACCCAATCGTATCATACCAATATTTGGCCTTGCAGCTATATCCTACTTCATGATTGGTAAGTCTATCTATCTGTGCGTCTCACACAAAAGCAAATTGAAATACCGTTGATAATCAAAATAAGATACAATTCAAAACTAGACCCTAATGGGCCCATATCATGTTAGATGTTTGCCTGCACATATAAACAGAAAATGCATCCAATAATTATGTTTCCTTATATTTCTTGGATTGTACATAATAATAATCCTTGCATTTGATATAGTGCTTTTTATGTCTTCTAGATGTTTCAAAGTGCTTCACAGAATATACTGTAAAGTGAATTAACTGTATATTTGTGAGCGAAACGCACGCGATTCATGTGATTTCATCATAAAACTCAAGAAATGACCTTTGATCACATTTTGTGATACGTGCCCAGTAGCTATTTGTATTTGGCAATGAAGTATGTTCATTAAGTGCTCCACACTATCTACTTGATGCTGCACTGCAGCAATGAAGATTATCAACGGCTGAGAATTGCAATGGCTGTTGTCACTTTCTGGAATCATTTCACACATTTCAAAAGCAGGAGATCCTCTTGTCCATTTATAAACTTATTATTCAATGAAACAAGTATCATTCCTACCTTGATGAGTACCATATTTTATCTTTGAATGCAGGGTTGAAGGAAGATGTTACATCCTTTTTCCTTTTCATTTTGACCATAAGTCTGACCAGCTTGGCGGCAGTGAGTCTGGCTTTCTTTGTGAGTGCAAGTGCTAACACATTTGCAGCTGCCAATGCCCTCATCGCCATCCCCTATGTCTTGATGATGGTAAGAATCTACTTTTCATTCAGTTGCTTGCTGACATCTTCGATTACTTACATGTTAGAGAAGTGTAACAGTACATTTATGTTTGTAGGTTTTTGGAGGTTTCTTGGTGAACCTAAATGGCATGTTGAACTGGCTTTCATGGCTGAAATGGATCAGTATATTCCGCTATGGTTTGGACGTAAGATTTCTCTTTTATAAAAAAAAATCTTCACAATAGATGTAAACCTTGGCGAGGAATCTCAACTATTCAAAAAATCCTTCATCCCATATAAGTTTATTCTGGTTGCTGCAATGTTGCAGTGCAGTAAGGTGCTGCTTTTCTCCTTTATTCCTTCACATGCTGATTTTACCAGTTCCAGCTTGATTCATTTCTCACCTCTGGGTCACACGATCGTGGGTTCAGTCCCCAAATTGGGATCTGAGCTCATAGTCTAGGCTACCTCTCCAATCCAAGATTGATATTCTCTTAATTTGAGATCAAAAGAATGAGCAGGACCTATGGATGGAGTAGGAGGGATTGGGAACTCAAATCATATCTGAATGTGTTCAGGGAACTCAGGAGTATATTAATCAGCTAAAATGAGAACAACAATTTAGAGGGTGGGGCAGGGGGTAGAAGAGAACTCATACTCCTATTCCAATTAATCTGTTTTCTTTCTTTTCACAGGCACTTGCAATCAATGAACTAAAAGGACAAATATTTTATTCAAATTTAACACTGTAAGTTTTTTTCCTTCCTAACTGTATCCGTCTAAAAATTGTTTTTTTATTATCATTCTTCCCATCTCCTTTGATAATTTGCATTCCATTTTTTCCAGATTCTATGGCGAGGCGTACCTGGACCAGCAAGGAATCAATCACAGTACTTGGGGCTTCTGGCAAAATGAAGTTGCACTTTTTTGTATGACAATAGTATTCATGTTCTTGGCATTTGTGCAGCTTTTAACAGTTAATAAGTGGAAGTAGAATGTTGTCCCCTTAGTTCAAAGGACTATCTGTTCTGCTATGAATCCTTTTTACGTGAGGAATGATCTAAAAGCACTTCAATTTGTTAATTAATTAAAAAGTAGTTTATTGTTTCAGAAATGTAAAGGAATTGTTTCTGTTCAAGAGATGTCACATTTTGAACTACCTTTATGCATCGTTAGTTAACAAATTACCATTGGAAACAATGTTGAAAGAGAGAGGTTGAAGTCAAATTTTGTTATTGTTGAATCAATTTGTTAAAAATACTTCTCCAATATTGATTTAAGAATAGGTGACATGAGTGCCTTTCAAATAACATAAGAACGTAAGAATTAAGAGCAGGAGTAGGCCATTCGGCCCCTCGAGCCTGCCCCGCCATTTGGTAAGATCATGACTGATCTTCTAACCTAACTCCAATTACCTGCCCTATAATAATAATAATAATAATCATAATAATCCTTGCATTTGATATAGCGCTTTTCACGTCGGGAGGACGTCCCAAAGTGCTTCACAGAACACACTGTAAAGTGAATTGACTGTATATTTGTGGGCGAATGTGGCAGCCAATTGCACACAGCAATATCCCACAAACAGTCGTAGATTGAAAATGACCAATTTTATTATTGTTTTTGGTTTTGGAGGGATTATTATTAGGCTCTGTGTGGAGTAAGGAAACTTGCCCAAGGTTTCGCCCTGACCTGCCTGGAATTGAACTCGGGTCTCTCACTTGCAAAGCGAGTGCTCTAACCACTGAGTTACAGGACGCCACAATATCTCCTAATCGCTCTATTTTTTAAAAATCCATCAGTCTCAGCCTTGAAGGTGTGAACACAAAGCTCAGCTTGATATCATTGTCAAACAGAAAAATAACTTTTCTTTGAGAGAACTAATCCATGATATCAATATTTCTGTAATATTTGTATGGCTGCAAAATAAATACATTCTCTTCCATCACCAATACTCTTGGATCTTGCTATCAAGTATTATAGCCTATGTACCCAATCTTGCAAGCATTCAATGCCAGTTGATAGGAATGAATCATTTACTGAAATTGAGTAACCAATTTTACTTGGTCACTGAGCACTGCACCACTAGACGCACTGGACAGTTAACCAGAGGACAGCTATCACTGATTTATTTGTTTGAACAAGGAAATAGGCTCCCCTCTCCCATCAGATATCAGAATGAAAGGAATTTTGAAATTCAGAATACGACTATGTAAATAATGAATCCTAGATATGTTGTGCTCAATCTTCTGGAATTCCACTCAGATTCTGACTTCAGAGAAGTAGGAACTCAGATTGATATTTGAGGGGAGTTTCAGAAGATCAGCTGGATTTAGACATTTCCCAAAGTCTCAGTCGAATAGATACAATGAGGAATGCAGCTTCTTAGACCCTACAGAGAATTCTGTTCACCTCTGAGGTGCAGGAAATAGCTATGAACCTGGGTGATTCCTATTGCTCTTTGTAATCTCCTGGACAGCTGCCCAGAATGATGGATGGAAACAACTAGAACACATGTTTGAGAGTGCTGTTCTGGACACAGACACCAGCGGTCAGTCATCTGGTAGATTGGGTGACGTGGGATAAGTTCAGTCGACAACTCTGAATTGACCTCCAGCCCTTCAGATTGGCATGAACTGATTTTTCAACATTTACTCTGTCATTCCCAAATTCCATTTTGTCAATTCATGTGTGGGTTTCCTTACAACTATCACCTAATCATTAGTTATTGATGTACCTTTCACTAGTAAATATTCTTTCTAGAGAAATATTGACTTAGTGAAAGTGTAAAAGATCATCAGCTACACTTAAGTAGTGATTGAGACTTTTGAAAACAAAATGAATTCAATGGGTTAAACAATATCCTTTCTCACGATGCCCTTGCCTTTCCCAATAATGACACGCCCACCCACTTCTGAGATATTAATAGTCATACGTTCAAGTGTATATCATTAAATAACTCAGCATTATCACACATTGTCAAGAAGATGTGAGATGACTCATACCTTTTTGACGGAAGAGAATGGTATGACTCAGGGAAGGGGTGGAAGAGGAATTAAATCACATAAATATGCACGCAAAAAAAACAACTGAATGGTATCTATTTAATGCACGCACTGCTTTGTCTCTTATTCAGCTGCTTTTTTTAGTTAGGTACAAAGTACAATTTACCAGGTCACAAATTGCAAAATACTTTTCTATTGGGATTTATTTTAAAACAGATTGCAGATCTAGATAACAAACCTTGCTTCTTTCACTTTTCCAGTTTCCGCTTGAATAAGCTGCTGAAAAAAAACACTTGGTACATCAAATAGCAATCAATTGAATGTCAATTCAGAAGTTGTTGTACTTTCCTGATGTAGATGCTTTTTCCCTTTTTGGCACTTTTGAGTTCAACAGCTTCTCCAGGAATGCTTCCTGTTAGTTTTTTAAAAAAATGAATTTAATTTGCTGGAAGAAAGGGTGGAATTGACATCAACAGTATGTAACTTGGGTAGTTAATTGTACATGCACCATATCTAAAAACTATTTATTCAGCTATATTTGTATTACATATTTAAAAAGCTTTACTTTGAAAACAGATCCATCTTTAAAAATCCATTTACTGTACTTGGGTTCTTTATATGAAAATGTAATGCATTGCCAATAGAAAGAGAAGTAAACTGCATTGCTTTAAATATAACCCCCTTCTGCCATTGCAGTAAACCTCCCAAATTAATGTAGCAAGCATATTTGCTCAAATAGAATCTCTCCATTACCCATGGTTAACTTTATAATATTTCTTCCATTTGATTGACCTAATCAATTTAACTAAATGGTATTTGTTCAATACCCACACTGCTTTGTCTCTTATCCAGCTGCTTTTAGTCAGGTACAAGGTACAGTGTACCAGGTCAGACTGAGAAATATACTGCGGTACTTTCCTATTGGAATTTATCTTTTCATGGCTCAGTAAAACAGATTGCAGATCTAGATAGCAAACCTTGCTTCTTTCCCTTTGCCAATTTCTGCTTGAATAACCTGCTGAAAAAACACTCTTGGTACATCAAAAAGCAATCAACTGAATGTTCAGAAGCTGTTGTGCTTTCCTGATGTTCCATAGGTTTTCCCTTTTCAGCATTTTTGAGTTCAACAGCTTCTCCAAGAACACTTTCTTCTTTAGCAGCAGCTTCTGAACCCTTTCCTCTATGATCGCTCCTTCAGTCATCCTCCCACCCCCACCCCTTTGGCCCCCACTCCTCTTGATTACAACCCCCAGCACAGGTGTAAACTCTTGACTGTTGAGCACCTTGGAACATCAACCCAACATGAAAGGTGCTACGTAAATGCAATTGTTGTTGTAATGGTCTCCAATCTGAAGTCAATATCTTTATATTTGCAGGATTTTTTTAAGCTCATCAAATATTTACACTTATGCAAAGTGTAAAAATGCAAGGGAACTAAACTTCTTATATTCCCTGGAATATTGTGTGTAAAAATATTTTAAGGCTCTACATAAAAATACAGATGTATTTTAAATTTAGAAATCAACATAAGTTGAAATAGAATTCATTTGAGTTTCTGCGCAGTTGTCTTATTTTCTTCCCCATCCTCTGAAAGTAATCAAGACTTCAATAATAGCAGTCCTCAAATATCCCCAGCAATACTATTATTCTCAGACCCCAGATCTTTGAACATTGTGTTTTAATTCATTACAAATAAGTTGTAATATCCTGAAAGGTCATTCAGAATTCTGCAGCTCGTGTACTGTCCCGCACCAGGCTTCGCGACCACATCAGTCCCACCCTCGTTCACCTCCACTGGCTCCCCATCCCCCAGAGGATCAAACTCAAGATCCTCATCCTCACCTACAAGGCCATTCACGGCCTTGCTCCCTCCTACCTCTCCGACCTACTATACCCCTACTTATCTGCCCGTACCCTCCATTCCTCTGGCTCCGGTCTGCTCCACATCCCCCGCCCCACCATCGGTGGCTGGGCCTTCAGCCTCTCAGCCCCTAGGCTCTGGAACTCCATCCCCCAGTGCCTTCGCCTTGCTTCCTCCCTTTCCTCCTTCAAGGCCGGTCTCAAGACCTTTCTCTTTGACTGTGTCTTCAGCTCCCCTCTCGACTCTCTACCCCCTTCTCACTCCCTCCCTTCTCTTCCCTCACCCTAACCATTTCCCCCCTGCTCGGGTCCTGACCCAACTGTCCAGCGCCTTGGGACGTTCTCCCGACGTGAAAGACGCTCTATAAAGAGGAAGAGATTAACAAAAGTAAATCTGGGTCCCTTACAGGCAGAGACGGCAGAAATTATAACAGGGAATAAAGAAATGGCAAAGTCACTAAACAAATACTTTGCTTCTGTCTTCACGTTGGAAGATACTAAAAACTTACTGGAAATAATGGGGAACTTAAAGAAATTAATATCAGTAAATAGTACTAGAGAAATTGATGGGACTAAAAACTTATAAATCCCCTGGACCTGATGGCCTGCATCCTAGGATTTTAAAAGAGGTGGTTGCAGAAATAGTGGATGCATTGTTTTTGATCTTCCAGAATTCCCTGGATTCTGGAACGGTTCCTGTTGATTGGAAGTTCGCAAATGTAACACCGCTATTTAAGGGTGGGAGAGAAAGAATGTGGAACTATAGACTAATTAGCCTGACATCAGTGGTAGGGAAAATTTTAGAGTCTATAATTAGGGATTTCATCGTGGGGCACTTAGAAAGTCATAATATGATTAGGCAAAGTCAACACGGTTTTATGAAAAGGAAATTGTGTTTAACAAATCTTTGAGTTTTTTTTGAAGATGTAACTAGCAGGTTAGATAGGGGGAAACCAGTGGATATAGTGTACTTAGATTTTCAGAAGACATTCGACAAGGTGCCACATAAAAGGTTGTTGCATAAGACTAGGGCTCATTGAATTAAGGGTAATATGTTAGCATGGATCGAAGAATGGTTAACAGGCAGAAAAGAGAGTAGGGATAAATTGATCCTTCTCAGATTGGCCGGCTGTGACTAATGAAGTGCCACAAGGATCAGTGCTTGGGCCTCAACTGTTTATGGTATACATCAGTGACTTAGATGAGGAAATAGAGCTTAATATATTCAGATGATAGAAAGCTAGGTAGGAAAGTAAGCTGAAAGGAGGACACAAGGAGGATGCAAAGGAAAATAGACAGGTTAAGTGAGTGGGCAAGAAGGTGGCAGATGGAATATAATGTGGGGAAGTGTGAAGTTATTCACCTAGGTAGAAAAAATAGAAAAACAGATTATTTTCTAGACGGGGAGAGACTAGATAGTGTTAGTATTCAGAGGGATTTAGATGTCCTATACACCAATCACAGAAAGTTAGTATCCAGGTACAGCAAGCAATTAGGAAAGCTAATAGTATGTTAGCATTTAGTGCAAAGGGGTTAGAGTACAAGAGTAGGAAAGTCTTACTGCAATTGTATAGGGCCTTGGTGAGACCCCACCTGGAATATTGTGTGCAGTTTTGGGTCTCCTTATCTAAGAAAGGATATACTCACCTTAGAGAGGGTGAAATGTAGGTTCACTAGGTTGGTTCCTGAGATGAGGGGGTTGACCTACAAGGAGAGGTTAAGTAAACTAGGCCTATACTCTCTAGAATATAGAAGAATTAGAGGTGATTTATAGAAACCTATAAGATTCTTTAGGGTCTTGATAGGGTAGATAGTGTGAGACTGTTTCCCCTGGTGAAGAATCTAAAACTAGAGGTCATAGTCTCAGGATTGAAGGTCAGCCCTTTAGAACTGAGTTGAGAAAACATTTCTTCACTCAGAGGGTAGTGAATTTATGGAATTCTCTACCCCAGAAGGCTGTGGATGCTCAGCCATTGAACATATTTAAGACTGAGATCGATAGATTTTTAAAAACTAAAGGGATATGGGGATAGGGCAGGTAAATGGAATTAAGTTAGAAGATCAGCCATGATCTTATTAAATGTCAGGGCAGGCTCAAGGGGGCGAATAGCCTACTCCTATTTCTTGTGTTCTTATAAGATAATTCTACTTCCTACTGAACAAGAAGGCAATTTTCATGGTATGAAATTGTCAAATATGGATTTCAAGCATACACCAAGGACTGTTAAAAGTTCAAATGACAAATTTCCTATAGCACTGTAAACAATTTTTATAATCATACACATAGCTTAAACTATTTAATTTGAGAACCCAGCTGTTCAATGAGCTCCCTCATTAGCCTCCTGGGAACAACATTAGCTTTTATTCAAACCTCGCTGTCTCCCAATGCCATAAGGACAAAAGAACTTCTGAACAGTGTAAGATTAGGGCAGCTGAGTGCTGAGTTATTGGCACCACTAATATTCATTAAGAATGTGAGATATAATAAATAATAATTACCCTTGCAGTTGACATAGCACCTTATCACATTTTAAAGTGCGTCACAGAATATATTGTAAAGTGTATCTCGTGGGCAAAAATGCATCAGCCCGTTGTCCCACAAACAGTTATGGATTGAATGACCAAAGGTTTTTAATTGTTATTTAAGTTTAGAAAATGGTGAGTGAAGTTTACAAACATGCCTGGAGGAATGGAGCTACACTGTGATCAAAACTTCCCATTGCCTTCTTTACTGCCATCACTAAATGTATCGTCAGAGGTCTTCCCCTGCAACCCTGCTTCGGCTCTCATTATGCCAAATCTTCCTCTTAGAAAAAAGTGTGCAGAGCCATTAATGTTTCTATTATGCTGCCCTCCCACCAAGGACACATGCAACAGTGGGAATGTTTGAAACCGACATCCATCCTCATCAGGTTACATTACATTCACACTAGCCTTCAGATCCTTGCCTTAATAATAATCCTTGCATTTGATATAGCGCTTTTCACGTTGGGAGGACGTCCCAAAGCGCTTCACAGAACACACTGTATATTTGTGGGCGAACGCAGCAGCCAATTGCGCACAGCAATGTCCCACAAACAGTCATAGATTGAAAATTACCAATTTATTATTGTTTTTGATTTTGGAGGGATTATTATTAGGCGTGTGGAGTGAGGAAACTTGCCCAAGGTTTCGCCCTGTGCCTGGAATTAAACACAGGTCTCTCGCTTGCAAAGCGAGTGCTCTAACCACTGAGCTACAGGACGCCACATACACACCCTCAAGCATAAGAGCCACAGCATAATTCATTCAGCATTTGACTTCGACTGTCAGGTGTTTCCTCCTCCAGCCTTGCCACACTACTCCTCTCATCATGATGTTGTCCTTGCATTTCCTGTTAAAAATGGTGTTTAAGTACAACCACAATATACAGGTGGCAATAACCACCTCATTGTGCTTCTTGATTCAGAATCAGAGCCAAGTCCAGAAAATATCATCTGATTGGCTGTAACATTTCCCCATTAAAAACTATGGGACCATTGCCCAGACCCTTTTACTCAAGCACCTTATGGCTAATTTCAACCCCCATGTCTTATTCACAAAAACGAAACTAAGAATGTCAATGTTCACTTTTACATACAAGACAAAGGCATGGCTCAATATAAGCACATTATAGATACTTTATTGCAAAAATATGAGTTGCATTTACTAGCACTGCAATTACAAATACCAATAGGTACAGAAATGTTTCCAATTTCACTTGTCATTGCCCGTAAAAGCTGTACACAATTTAACAGGAATACATTAGCAAGAATATGAAGCTTTACTATGCAGACAGTAAGAAATTACAGTAAAAGTCTGTAAACCATTTTCTACAATAAAATCTCTCAACACCATATCTGTAAACCTATATTTTTATTAGCGGTTACTCTGGTAATTTTATATAATATACATAAGGGTGTGAATAACCCAGTACTCACTGCATAAAGAACCTTGTAATACTGTTTCAGCAATCACATGATCAATACTTTGCTTACAAGGTCTTGTAATATGCATTTAATGGCATGACTATACAAGGATAATGAATTGGTTTTGAATACTGGGAACTTTACAAACTTCAACAAATAAAAATTATAACTGTATACATTATAAAAATAACAGATGGTAGGAGGAAATTAAATGCAGTCAAAGAGCCATGGAGGTACAGATATGCACAAGTGTCTCAAGATTTACTCCCTTTTGATGACATGAACTGAATTTGACTTGTGTTAATCCCATGAGACTTTCTTCCTACCTTACCTTCATGGATTGAGACCAGGTTTCCCATTTTATCATGCCATCATTTTCATACTCCAGGGTGGGTGAATGGTCCACACGTGAATTCTCATTACCTATTTTAACAATCTTCATATATATTTTACAGCAGCTTCCCATCTCTGCAAGTAGATATCTGTGAAATAATTCACATCCTTCCCTTCAGTGCAGACCTAGAATTTTTAATCATATATACAATGGTGGGGGAGGGGATGTGAAGAAAGTATCACAAAGGTGTCTTGCATATCAGTGGACATTAAGTATGAGTTTATCTCCTTCATTTTGATTGAAAAAGTGTACAGCACTGTCTTGGTCTGCAAAATACATTTTGGATCCAAAAAACTGTTACACTAAATCTATATAAGCTGAATTATTTCTGGTTATCAATCTTTCAACTCCTTCTAGCCTATATTTTAACAGAATGAAGACTTTCAGTAGATCAGGCTGGTTGTCATTTGCCAGTCATTCAACTTTATTAACTTAATGGATTTCAAAGAGATACAGATTTATCATATTAACTCTGAAGATGCTCCTAACACTGAGCCCAAAGTAGCATTTAAAAAGCAATCTACCTTTCAATTTAAAAATGCATCTTTATATTTGAGCAGTTTGTTGACAATTAGAATATTTCAACTTGATTGGATTAGAAAGGATTAAATTGCTGATTCTTAAATTGCCCTCACTACAGTTACATCAAGAAAGCCTCTGTTACAACATGACAATATGCAAACCACAAGTTACTTAGATCATTACACTGTAATTTCAAGTAATGTTCTATATTTCATAACAGTGTAAAGGTCCAAATATGTATAGACGTGAGTACTGTAATACAGAACTTAATTTTGTATAGTTACAGGGATGGAGGAAGCAGCGAATTATTACATCCAGAATTCTAAACTTAACTCCTAAACAGTAACTGAAAAATATTAACTTTAGACTTTAATTAAAAAACATTTAGTCTTTCAACTTTGTTTTTACCAATTTCGTACCAACCCTCAACTGCATACAAGCATATTTCAGGTCACAACAGAAACCAAAGTAAATATTTCTGGCATAGAACTCAGTTATAATGGCATCCCTTCACTTAGTTGGGAGTAACAGAGTTAGCTTGCTTTGAAGGAGTCTCTTTCAATAAAGTCTATCAGTTTTGGCTAATCTCAAATAGTATTAATGTCTTGGTTTAAATTGTGCCATATATGCAGTGCAATTCTGGCAGTAAACCTGTGCAGTATCTATTAGCACTTGCTGGCAAAGAGAGCATTGGCGTCTCCTGCCCGGCTGAAAACCAGTCTGTTCAGTTACTCGTCTGATTGCTGATGACTCCCTGGTGTAAATGTCAGGAGCATTAGTCCTTGGAGCAGCATTGCTGACCAAATGCTGATATGGGGTAAAAGTCGCTTTCCTCCAATCCTCATCAGGAGGAACATCAAGACGCCGGGGACCAAGACTGTTAGATCGTGAAGCCACGATGTAAGGAGGTTTCTGATAGATCAACGTATTCGCTGCACTGCTTTTTGGGAAAGTGTTCTGCTTAGTGTCGAACCCAGGTCTGTAATGCACAGGAAAGTGGTCTGCAGAACCATAAAAATCAGAAAATTCTGTTCTACTTTGGAGAGGCCTGTTCAATGTTGCAGTGCTGGATGGATTTCTGCGAAGGTGCTCTATTTTGCTCTTGTTTGGCAGAATCGCTCGGTTTGTTTGATTCAGTCTTTGTTTGATAAAGTTTTTAGTCTCAAGGTGCAGCAGCTCCTTACCGAAGGGTCTCTGCCCTGGAACCACACGTTTCTGACTGCGTGGCAGCGTTCCATAATTCACTGCAACATTCTGGTAGTTGTCACGGCTGGTAGCTTCACTCCAGTCAAACACAGCCAGAAATTTTTCGATGTTCTTATCTGCATTCATAGGAAATAGAACAATTAAGTAGCTTGAAATCATTACAAATTTCATCCAACAAGGATCTAATAATAATCTTTGGTTTTGGTATAGCATCTCTCATGTTGGCAGACCATCTCAAAGTACTGTATTTGTAGGCAAATGCTGTAGTCCAATTGCACATAGTGATGTCCTACAAACAGCCATGATCTGCAACAATTACACAAACCAAATTTAGTCTTCAGCTGCCCATTCGATAGTATAGGCCAGAACATATGGATTCCAGTTCAGTCAGTATTCATCATGCTATAAAACGTTTGAGGATTTGCTGAAGATTAGTGATCACATACCATTTCCATCAACATGAAAATCCTATTTCAAGTCATGACTCGTCATTTCTCATGAACTCATTAAAGTTTCATCCCATTAATTTCTCTGTTAATCCAGTTAATTCCTCAGCAACATATGAGACAAATTCCAGAATATTTTAGAGTGTAACATCATAACACAAAAATAGTAAAATTAAAATAGAAAGACCATGTCCTTGTTAGAATGCATCTCTGAAGTTCTTCTTCTTACCCAGAGAAAATCACAAACGGACAGGACAACAATAATTTAAGTGGAAATGTATAAGGTTAACCATTCCCTTTAACTCTCAAGATGGTTCAGTTTGTAAAGTCACTGTATGATAACTGAACTATATAGACTTGGAAGGTACAAGGCTCAATCCAGAGCTATGTGATCTCAGTTGGGGCAGCTGAAGGGCAGTGCAATTGATTCTCTCCCTGGGGTGATGAAAGAAATTAGCTAAGGTTCTCTCTTGTAGTGACCCCTGCTGATAAGTGCATGTGTGTGAACACTGGATGATCATGATTAGCCCTAGCTGTGAAGCTTTATACAGTTCAACAGCACACTACTGTCGGCTGAAAGAAGAATGGTCACTTGGGTAAAGGCCAGTTGTTTCTGAATTTCGTATTACAACACGCTAGACTTGGAACACACATTCATAATGCTGACCATTTTGCTGAGCTGGTTTAGGTACCCATTGTATATAATGAAGAAAATCACAATGAGGATAGAGAGGAAAAGCAAAAGCAAAAAGTGATTTTGAACTGTTGAATAAGACCACTTTCATATGTTACACATGCACATAAAAGAACAATTACCTACCTTGCAGATCCTTTTCATTGTCCTTACATTGCTAGATTCAAGCCAAGCCTCGATTACACTCTGGGGAAGACTATGGCAGCCCTTTATGACAATGTGGTAGTGCTAGGATATATCTATCACTACCATAGAACATTGGCGAGTGCCAATGTCAAAAAAGTCATGAAGGTCATTGCTAACCACATGTGTACTCCCAAAATGTTATCTAGGTCTCACTCAATTCAAAGTTGGAGGATGCTGAATAAAGTAGTAAGTGATATTAACATTTAGAATACAGTTATCCTGAATCCAGATGTTGCCAATCATGTCTGATGATTTTCCTACCATTCATTTCAATTTATTAAGTTCAATGCCAAGTCGAACAAATGCCATTCGGATCAAACATATTAGGAAACAGTCACTCTATAAAATAGTCTCAAACAGAAACGTTCTTCATGCAGTAGTTGAAACACATTACATACAATGGAAAAGGAAATTAACAGCCAAGGAGAGTCATGCAACCTCAAGTACTGTGGGTAGAGCATGCATTGAAAGGAAATGTAAATACAAGCCACTTTCGTTTAAAGAAGCCATGTTTACCTGATGCTCTGTTTGCCTCACCAGCCTTGCTAGGCTGCAGTGGATCAGACGAAAGGTGCTGTGATAGGTAGGGGTGATGCTGAGGGTAGGAGTTTAACACAGGAGGATTGTGGGAGGGATCTTGGGAGATGAGGGAAGAGGAGCTGGCAGATCTTTTTCGAGGTTCCAAATGTGACTTCCTCAGTTTTGTTGTTTCCTTGCAACATAAATGGACATTGACGGTTATATACCGAAAATTTCCACAGGAAGGAAAACAAAGTAAAAAGCCTCCAATTTATTCTCCCACATCCCATCCACACTATTAAGTAGTTCAATAAGGATGTAACATAATAAACTAATTTGAAGCAAATAAAATTTTATACACAGTTTTACATTGATCCAGCCAGTCTTACTTACAAAACTATGAGAATTAACCACAGTGTTCTCTCGGTTAGCAATGACAGTTCCACTCAGGCTGCGAGCAATACGTCGGAAATTTTCTGCAGTGTAATTGTCATTTTCCAAGTTTTCTGTTGGAGCACTTGCACTGAAATCAATCTAAAAAAGATGAAGAAATTTAAAGTTATTCCAAATTCTGACCACTCAGCTATCAGGAGAGCCCAAATACAAAAGCACAGAACTGTATTGTCCTGAGAATTCCACCACTCAAACCATTCTTTAATTCCAATTGAAGATGGTAGCATGATGGCGTATTTAGAAAGTTTTATTTGAGGTTCTTTATTGGAATTCAAGGTAGAAAAATAATTACTATTTACTTCTGAATTAATACACACACACATTTGAAAAAGCAGACATAATAGGTATTTTATCCTACTTTTACCTTTGTCCTGTCTCGTGCAGATACCCTGGAAGAAGCTGTCCCGTAAGCTCTGCGCTCAATCTCTGCAGTGGGAGTCTTTGATCTACCCCTTTCTGGTGAAGAGTAGAGATTTGTTGCAACTATTTGCGGAGATGAATAAAAATGGAAATAATATTAAGTTGGATTTCTTGAAATTGCTGATAATTCTCTTATTTAGTCCAGTACGGTTAACAAGTATGCCCTGAAAAGATGTTTCATTCCCACAAAATTATTCTTCAATTTTTTTTGCAATCCCAAGTTATGTAGAATGCAAGTTATGTGAATATAAAAATAATGCTTCATATCCTTTGCACTTATAACGTTTTCTAATAAATATCTATACAGCCCCAGGATGGTATCCCTTTTCTATTTCATTCAAGAAATTTAGAAACTTGTAAAAAGCTTAATAGTTTAAGATATGTTATCCCCACCATCCAAAGGAAAACAAAAATCAGAGGTTCTACATTATTTGATATATTGTGCATTCTCACCTGGTTTAGCACCATTATGTCTGGTAGCAGCCTCAGTCACAAATCTTCCTGGTGACGTCCGGAAATTCCCCGAAGCTTGCAGACTTGCCTGATACAGGGATTCCAGCTCTGAAAATTCGAGTTCAGTATCCTGACCTTTACTAATAAATGGCTGCATTAGTTTGCTTTCATGACCATGCATGCAACTCTCTTGACTAGGCAGATTACCCTGAAGGTGTTGCTGTTCATTGTTGAAATTTGGTTGAAGCATGTGATGCTTTCTCACATTGCTGACCCATCGATCCATAGGCAGAGAAGAAGCAGATGTAGTAAATTGCTCATCTTGCTGTCTCACCCCTTCTGAAAAGTTGTTGAAATTGTTATTTCTGAAAGATGAGTAAACATTCTGGTATTGTTGTGCACCTGTTTGAGGATCACTTGGAAAATCTAATACTCTGAAAGTACTGTTTACATCTCTAGCACTAGTTTTTGTTCTGTAAGTAGGAGCAGAAGGAGAAACAGGTGAGTCAGTTTTACGATTCATAGGAATGCCTGAACCTTGGGAAGAAAGCAAGGTCTCAGAAGACCACCTTGTGCTGCCTAACTGATTCCTGCTGTGGGCAGTCTCCATTTTTGTATTCAAAGGGAGCCGAGACAGCTCTTGGTTAAGTTCTTCTGGTGGACATGTGCTAGATTTTGAATACATGCTTTGATAATTGCCTTCATGGCTTGCCTGTCCCAGCTTGGCATTTACTCTTTGAAACTGTGCAGTTAAGCCTTTTACATTAACCTTATCGATTGTTGTCTTGACCAAAGGTGAGCAGGTGTTGTGAAACTCTGCTGTTTTGAAATCAGGCTTATCCAAGGTCTCATTATCTTCGTGTGACTGATAATTAGGAGACCAGTTCAAGGCTTTGGAAGACGATGTTTTGCATGGAGAGATTTCTATGTCAGATGTATTAAACTGCCTTGAATTGGTATGTATTGAAGAATGCTGTGGAGTTTTTGGCAGATAACTGTCTACTTCATCCTTCTGTATTAACACCTTTATATGGGGAGATTGTGATGGAAAAGTACAATTCTCATCTCTGTAACCAATGTCAAGTAATGGCAAGGAACCATGTTGACCAGATGCCTGCTTATTGCTCAGTGCTGAAAGATCCAACCTTGCTTGATTTTCCACTGGTTCAACATCATTGCTCTTCATCGGGCTTTTGGCTGTGTGCTTCAAAATTCGGTCAGGTTGTGAAATACGACAGTGACTTGTGCTCATCACACCTTTTTCCTCCACCTTCTCCCCAGTGCGAAAAACTGGAACTTGATTGCAATTGCTGGGAGTTGGAACCTCAGAGGTGTATCGACTGGGTTGGTTAAATTTCAATTCTGAAGCTAATGAAGTAGAAACCTGACCATGCAACTCCCAGTGAGGTTCTTGTGACTTGGTTGCATGTAGCTCATGGTTGGAGGCTGATAAGACTGGGGAAGAGTTGGGCTTGAAGTCAGGTTTACTTGTGGGTTTCATTATTTTCTCTGATGTTAACAGTACTTCGATCTGGCTAGTCTGCATACTGTAATCAAAGTGGATTGTATTATTTCCAAAGTACAATATCAGAAAGAATTCAATGCCATAATACGCAGGCTCCTCTACTTGTTAACAAATGTTTTACTAAACAGTCACAAGTGGTATAGAGCACACTAGAAATACTTCTAAGAAGTCTCAGTTTGCTTATTTCATATGACACACGTTGTAATCATTTAATCATTCTATTTACTATAGATTTTGTAGTAAGTTAAATTTTAGTACTCTCTTGATTAAATGGCTGCTAATTTTATTTCCATATGTAAAATTCAATTCAGCAGCACAATACATACATATTCAACTGCCAACATTGAAATCTTCACCAATTGCTGAATTTATGTAGAATTATTAGGCTAAAAATATTGAAACAAAAAAATAAATTCAATCTTGTTTTTATGGTTGAATGGAGTGGACATTTTGTAACAGGTAAAATTGAAAGAGTAAGGATAGGGGAGGAGGCAGTATGATCCCTATGCTTTTCTTTACGATTACAGGAACCTTTTCTTTCAATCAACTACAGAAACCTCAACTATACAGTGTGGTGTGCACCACATGGGCATCAACCCCAATTTTTTTGTTTGAAGCAACAACTATTCATCACTGCCTGCTCCCTGCGATATAGACCCCAATCAGGTGACTCTCTCACCATACAGAAAATGAAACATGCATTTCAGGTGCCAGCCTCCTGGCAGCAGTCAGCATGAATTAATAATGTAAATCAAAAGATAATTTTAAAAGAAAACAGCAACTTCCTAGCAAATTTAAGGTTTGTAATATTTGTAATTTAAATTCTTAAGACTTATCTTAAAACACAATTTAGACTTTTCTTTATTACCATCTGCTTCTGAGATTGTATTTTTTGTTAGGTAATACTAATCAATAGAAGCTTCATAAATTTAGAGTAAATCTTGGTAAGCAGCTGCGGCTCAAGCTCTGCACTGCCCAACCAACGGTTAAGGCTGCATTTCTGAGCTATGAGCCAGCTATGGATGGTGGCATCGCTCACACTATTTCATACTGCTGCACTGCTTGCAGGGAGTTCCTTGTATCTCCTACTTGGAGGGAGGGCACGCTTTGGAAGATAAGCGGGTCTCCTTGGAGCTGAGCTGGCTTGAAGCTGATATGCTTGGCAATGGAATGTCTGAATCGAGTCAACCCTCTGTTGCAGTCTTGGCGGTCTGGTTCCTGAGCCAGGATGATCCACAGTATTTCAAGGTCAGATTGATGAGACAGGTCAGCCTGCTTGTAAGCAGGACTTAGAGGGGCACACCGATCCACTGAGCACAAAGATTCTTCCCACTCGGCTCCAGTTAACACTAATCCAAAATCCTAGCAAGCAGGGTGGTTCTCGCTGGACAAGCTTGCTGGGCAGTGCTCTCAAGGGCAAGCTATACAGTGTTAAATGGTTAAAATAGAACAACAGCCCCAACACAACTCTGGGGTACCCTTGTGTGTCTCTCTCCAAGCTGTTCATAATATTTTCTTGAATAAGTATGCAAGTTGCATCCCTAGAGGGAGATGGAGTGCACTTTCCATTCCAGACATGTGGAGGTGACAATCCAATCTCAGTCTGGATACTTTTAAGCATGGTAATCTGTTTCTCCATCAAGCACCCAGCTGATCAAAAAAAAACTAGAGCCTAATTTATATCAACATAGTTTAATTTGATCCCCCTTTACATTACAAGGGCACATCATTTCCTTTAAATCCTTTCAACTCCCCACAGACCTGTGTCTAAAACAGAGAAATTTGCCAACCATAACCTATCAGGTATTCTCTGTGGCAAAACATAATGGCAGAAGCAGAAATTATGAATTCAAACTGCAAAATATGAGCAGGAATCATAAGTAAGACTAGGCCACTATCATCCAGACTGGGACTCGTTTTGTTTTTAGAGCTTGAAAAATCAATGGTTGTTCTTTCAAGGTTGAAAAAAAGAGTGCACCACGAACTATCACTTATGTATAGAAACCGAGGCTATCAGTTGAAACTTAGTTGAGTTTTTATGCTTCAAACCATTATGCCTCAAGAGGGTAAACCCTCCAGAACTGAATTCACCCTCTTAGTAAGACTATCATTGTTTGTTTAATAAAATAACATGGGTAGACTTGGGAGAATTTCACAGATCATTCTCCTAGGTAATACATGTTAGCATGTACCAATTGTGGGGAAGATTTTTTTTTAAAAAAGAGACAAACAAGATTTCTGACAACAATATATGACACCAGGCATTCTGAAATTTACATTATATTGAAGGAGCCCTTCCCTGCACCACCCTTCTCATTTGAGAGAATAACACTGTTCAGACATTTTTCTCATGGGTTGGAGAAAAATGCGTAAATGAAATCCCCCCTCCCCATCCAAGATTATCTCACCTAGAAGGGAATCCAGAAAGAGAATGTCACTTTACATAAAGGCAAATTCAGGCTCTCTAAGTCAGGACACAAACACTATGTTATGCAAGCAGTTGGAGGTTATAGAGCACTTCCTCATCTAAACAAAGTGATTAATATAAAATCTTCTTTTCTAAAAACTATGCTGTTGATACCAATATTCCAAAGGTTTCTATCCAATTCCCCCTCTTTATCCTAGAGTACTACCTTTTGCATTCAGTCATTGGGTTTCCCTGTGAAAGGGAGTGCTGCATACGCTCCTGCAGACTTCGAGCCTTCTTCATGCAAGTATGCAGCTTCTTATCAGCAAGGGTTCTGCCATGTGAGCTCGCACTGCCTTCATGCATAGCAAGTCTTAGTTTAGCTAAAATGCAAAACAGCAGAAAAAAAATGCACACACAGGCCAAAACAACATGCAGTTGTAAAACAGAAGTATGAGAAACTCATAAATGTTTTAAGAATGAAATGTTAGCAGTGCTCATATCAATGTGACATAGTTTAATTACAAATAGGTGTTTTGCGCACAGAGATTTGTCCAATGTTGCAGGAAATGCCAACCAAATCATTTAGGAATATGTGCAATTGCATAAATAAGCAAATATCAAAACAAAAGCAAATGAATGACAGAAGCAATTACTGCTCTGCCTTTTGATGGCACAGTTAAGACTACTCTAACACACTTAAGAAATAATGTGTGCATAGCGACCTTTACTGTGCATTTTATTCACTGCACTAGAAATTGCACCCTAAATTTCCATTGATAAACATTTCAAATCGCCAGTGGCATCCATCAATTCATAAAATTACTGCTTAAGAAAACTTTGAAATGAAATAATATTCACATAAAATTAAGTTGCTTGCAAAAATAACAAAGTGGCATTTTGGTAAAGGATTTTCTGGAATAACAAATTCAACATGAATTCCCTTACTCCAAACTTCTTTTAAAATTATATTAAAACTTATAAAAACAATTGCTATTTTTATATCATGCCTTTAATTAAGAGCCTTCCATGTCATCCTTTGGGTTAATCACATTATTTTAGGTTTTAAAATACAAAATAAAGTAGACAGAAATATTTAACATGAAGTATTTAAAATCTTTCTCAGATTCAAATAAAATGATTTTAAGAATATATTTGATGCGTAAAGAATTTCAAAAGTAGTATTTGGTACGCATATCAACAGTAAACGGGTAACATGACAGTTTAGGCTCCAGTTTCCAGTCAAACAGTAAGGAGTTTTAGTCAACGAGACAGCTGATTAGCAACGTGTTTAGTCTAGGAGCAGCATAGGCAGTTAGGGTTACTTACACACAGCTTCATTGCAGAGGGAGAGCGCTGTAGCTAAATCATCCTTTTGTTCAAGGCGGAAAGACTGTTCTAAAAGAGAGTCTACCTCCTGCAATGATCTCTCAAAGTTGTCAGTCTTCCCTGCAGAGGCAACACCAAATTTTTCACATGCAGTTTATGTGAGATATTAAATTCTAAATAACACAAACTTACAAAAATGTTCAGTCAAGTCAAAACCTGAAAAGCAAATTCCTGACAAATATGAATTTACCAGGTTCTAAATTAACCACAATTGCTCAACAAACATTTTCAGTAAACAATGGTATTACGCAATATTAGAAACTCATAAAAATAGCAAAAGAAAACAGAAAGAAAAGCAATATATGAAAATGGGAAGGCAAATGTATTGTAAGTAGTCCAAATGAAGTACTTAGAAGGGAAGGTGGGGAAATGTTATAAAATGTGAGAAAAGATTAATAGACTGAAGTTAAAAGGTCATCTGTTCACATGCTAATGCCTTCAGAGGGGTATTCATGAGAACATGAATAGATGCACAATAAGATAATGGTGAATTGTGGAAAGGGTCAGATGTGTCCACATGTTAAATTTAGAAGAATTATTCACTGAGGTGCTATAACTTAAAAAATGTAGAAAAGTATACAGACCTCAGGACAAGTTTAATACATCTGTTATGAAAGTTGCTTCAACGAGAAGCAGTTCTGCAATGTTAGAGCTCTCCTCCTGCAAAATGTCCCATGTTCACATTATGGGACAGACTACAGCATTCCCCAAAACAAAGTTGCACATGGCACTTTTGTGTATTTGCAGTTCACAGGAAAGCCTCTAGAGGTAAGTTTTATTTTCTGATTGAGGGCCTTCCCCAAAACCTGCATTGCTAGATTGTGAAAGTAGCCTGACGGATAGACAAAATTGTAACAGAAAATCAGCAGGAAACACCAATTGCAAACACTCTGATTTGTTACCACCTCTGGAATGGGAAAGAGGAACAATTATTTGTATTTGCACCCCTAGTTAACTCCTCTCAAAAATAAGCAAATCCACATTACAGCAGGCTTTTGCTAACAGATAATAAACAGCAGTCAGGAAGGATGAAAATTCAATATTAAAAAACTTTAAATACACAGAACTGCTTATAGTAATACATTTGTGAGTTCATGGCTGTCTGAAATGAGACTGACAAGCATTTAAGAGATAATATCAAAAGCCAGGATTATAAAACATTTAAAAGACCAACCTTGATTTTGAAGTTCATCTAGGTCCATAAATTTGCTGGGTCGGGGGTTAAATGCCATAGATGCTTCCTTCTCTCGCAGTTTCTTTCTCCTCATTTCCTCTTCTTTTGTTCTCCTTTTAATCTCTTCTTCCAGCTCATCCAATTCACTTCGTATAGGACAACTGAAGTGGTCATCTGAACAGTGATGATTTAATACAATTCAAAAAGTGGCTTTCGCTGATTTATTTTTATACACACTGTTCAAATATACCATTAAATAATGCTTAAGAATCGACAATGACCACTTAAACCCTCAAATTGAAATAAAAACTTTGATCTTAATCCAGGGTATTTAATTTTTGTGAACATCTTGAATTGTTGAATTTTTTGGCTAACACAATGAGATACAGTGACTGATTAAAACAAATTGCTAAAACTTGGAATGTGCCTGTGAAGGTTTTCAGGCATGAGACAAATATTGATTCAGGCACATCCACTATGAGCACCCTAAGGACTTCGCAACAGGTGAAGCCAAAGTTTTATTTTTAAAAATTGAAGAGAAAAATCTTGTGATTGGCAAATCCAGGGTGTACTTTCTGCTTCAAAATCCAGCTTCTGCTTCTAAGGATTTCTTATCTTATTTGAGTGCATTAAATCATGCACTCAAATATTTGTGCAACACAGTAATTTGCAGCAATTCCTGCAATTAAAGCTGTGTTTCACCAGTCGATAGCATTACACTAGTTAATGGAGAACTGCTCCCTTTGATTCATAAACACGGGCTATATGTAACTAAAACAAAAGCAGAAGTTGCTGGGAACACTCAGTAGGTCCGGCAGCATCTACGGAGAAAGGAAAGTGAGTCCACGTTTCGGGTCCACGACCCTTCGTCAGAACTGGGGCATGTTGGGAGGGAGAGACTTTTAAGAGCTAACAGCGGGAGAAGGCAGGGCAGGGAAGACCAAGGAGAACATGGGGTAAAGGACAGGGGATGGTGGGTTAAAGATGTGCTAATTATGCAAAACAAAGAGGGGATTGCAACAAAGCAGGGGAATAGAGGTGTTAATAATGCAAAACAAGAAAGGGGGGAGTGGAGGAAATTACAACAAAATAGGCAGATCAGAGAGAAAAGGTGCGTCTGGGACCCAGATGATTTGGTAATTGTCACAGAAGAGGGGGAGGGTGAGCTGTTAAGGTCTGATATTGTTGAAATCAATATTGAGCCAGAGGGCTGTAAGGTCCTTAGTAGATATGTGAGGTGCTGTTACTCAAGCTTGCGCTGTGGCTCATTGCAACAGTGTAGGAGACTGTGGATGGAGAGGTCAGAGTGCGAGTGGGAGCGGCAACACTTTCCTCCACTACAAAATATGGAATGGACTGATTGAGAAATGACACAGTTGCCACACAATACTGATGATGGGGTTCTTAAAACTTAAATGTGGACTATTTGACATTATTTTACACTGTTCAAAACATCACAGATATCTGAAAAAATGCACGTCAAAAACAGATTTGAATAAAGCATGAAGCTCGTGTCGTAATAATTTTCAGCCACTAGGTGGTACATGTGTGCGTTTATAGAACAAACAACTCTTCCAATAACACTGGTGGAGTATTTGGAGTCAATAGTTTCTCACGTTATAGCGAAGAGTGCACTATGATGAGTTCTATTGCCACTAATATTGTAAAGTTCTACTTCAATCATAAGCAGAACACCAAGAAATAAATGCAGCACAGCCCTTTGAGGTTGTTTTTGCTAGAAAGCACACATGTGTAAAGAAGGTTTTAATTATAATTTAACACTGAACAGTGTCAATTTTTTTAAATTTTGTTTTTCTTACAAAGTAAATCACGGACAGTAATTATAGAAATCTCCTTGGTTCTATTCCACTTCTGAATCTTAAACCCCAAAAGGCAACACCTAGTGAATTGAGAACGTCTCTATTATCAGGAATATGGTTTGTTCTTTGCTATCTTGTTATGTAATGTAATTTTATGAATTGCTGAATGGCAGAATCAAGCTCATCTGAGACCAAATAAACTTTTGATTTCCTAGTCTTTGTCGTATGCTGTCTTCTGACTTGACCAGCTGAGTTTTAAGCTGATCAGTACTACAGCTGATCTTGTTTCTACCAGTTGCTCCACTTGCACACAAGCCTCGAGCCATCTGCTGCTATATGGTGCAGGTCAGTGCTGCCATTCACACATCAAGCCATCTGCTACTACATGCTAAGAGCTGACACGAACATATCAGGAGCCAAGCTATTGCAGCATTACATCTGAATGCATGACACAACAAGAGAGAATATCTATTAAGGACACTAGCAACCTTCTGTGACATAAAAAATCATTGCATTTAGCAACTGGATGCTAAAATGATGCATATAGCCACATTTGCCATTTCAGATAATGCTCAAACAGTAATTGTTTGGGTAATTGGGTTGACACATCATTTGTGTGATTGTTTCCATTTTCTTTTTGCTAACCTCCCTATGTTCTGCAAACAGAAACCATTTGAGTTTTGNAAAAATCTTGCACATCTGTTTAAGATCAAATGCTCAACTTATTCCACCAGGTAATGTTTGCATCATCACAACTAGTGCTGGATAGCTTTGTTGGCAAACATGTAGGTGGATTACCTGACCTTGTTATTATGTAAGTGGTCTTATGAGCTGATTGCATCAGTGAAAACAGGAATTTAGGTTTAATTTATGGTGAAAAGTTACTGAATATACAACTAAATGGAAGAAATGGTGAAATCCTCATATATAAAAACATTTTGAAATAAAATTGGGTACTTTAAGAAAAAATGTCTTACATAAAAATAGTTTTTAAAGACCTTTAAGTATGGCCAGTCACTCGGTTAAGTTAATGACGGTGTTCCACGCAATTAGTAATTATGTGCACTATCCAAATGCAAAGATTAGTATTATTTGATTTTTTTCTTAATTTTATTTTCATGTTTAAAATCAGGGCATTTGTTTTAGCCCCTGACTGATCTATGGTTAGTGATTGTGTTCCTTACGTTTTGTTTATGGCCCACTGGAAATTGTATTGATTATCCAGTCTGGACACAATTGACATTGTTGCATGACTGAAGCAACTGCATCACATAATACCTTTTTGATCTTTTTAACCAACATGAAGTTATCTTATTGCAACATATCGATAAATGTATTTAACATCAAAAGCATCCCCAAATGCCACAACTCTTTTAATTAGTCTCAGCTAAGATAGGTTGACATATTATACAGAGCCATCATTGCCAAATCAGGCTGCTGGGAAATGGGTTTCAGATTGCAGCTATAGTTCTTTGTGCTGAAAACAGTAACCCAAGCAGAGAGCTAGTCTTGACCTGCCACCGCACATGCACTTAGTGGCTTCAGTGACAAAGTACTGCATGCGCTTTTACCAGCTATATTGAAGAGATTGAATTATTGTTTTGAATTACGCAGTGTAGATTATTGATTAAATCAGATTTTATACGTTTTTTTTAAACCAGATTGCTTGCAACTCGGACTTCACGCACATAATAATAATAATAATAATCCTTGCATTTGATATAGCGCTTTTCACGTCGGGAGGACGTCCCAAAGCGCTTCACAGAACACACTGTAAAGTGAATTGACTGTATATTTGTGGGCGAACGCGGCAGCCAATTGCGCACAGCAATGTCCCACAAACAGTCGTAGATTGAAAATGACCAATTTATTATTGTTTTGTTTTTTTGGAGGGATTATTATTAGGTGTGTGGAGTAAGGAAATTTGCCCAAGGTTTCGCCCTGCCTGGAATTGAACTCAGGTCTCTCACTTGCAAAGCGAGTGCTCTAACCACTGAGCTACAGGACTCCACATATTAAATCAAACAATAAATTAAACATCATATTAAATGTTATGGTCCCCACCGATATGACTCAGGTGAGTTTTACTCTAATGTTTTCAAAATGAAACAGTCATTTACGTTGGCTTCATAGGCAATTATCTGTAGTATTGAGCCAATCCTACTTAATATATTGGAACACTAAGCAGGAAAATTGTAAACTCCTGATAACTTGTCACTCCAAGGGAAAAGGGCTCAGTGAGGAGTTATCCAGAGTGACAAGTTAAGCATATGTATTAATACATAAATAAATGCGGTAAGGATATTAACAGCATGATGATTTAAGTGGTAATGACAAGTTAAATCAGGGTTGAGTTATCAGGAGTTCATAGGATAGCGACCAATGAGAGTGCCATCACTTCAAATGTGAAATTCCACACCACAAATAGGGCCCTGTAGATTTCACATGTTTATCTGAAACATTCTTTAAATATAAGGCAAATATATTTACAAACAAAATTGGTTCTTGCATAAACTGCAGTATGACTAACAAAAAGCTAAGTCTAACGCTATCACAAACAGTTCCTGCAACATTGTATTACAATAATTCATTTCACTCTGAAAGTAACATGTCAACAATTGTTACAATTATAGATTTTAATATATTTGATACAATTAAATATAAAATGTTTTAAAGAGTCTAATGTATGGATTTTTTTACACTAAAGTTGTTTAGTAATTGTTCAGATTCACGTGCATTATTTTCATGGTAAAGGGTGTACACAATACAGTCACTGCGGCAGCATGCAGTTTAAATACAAGTTAACAATAATTATGGGGTTGTACATTAACTTACTGAAACTCTGCTGCATATTCATCCAGGTCTTGGAGGCTGTTGAAGATTCATGTTGTAAGGCACTGCTGCTCTTGGACTTGGGTACACTTTTCCATGAAGGACCAGAACTGACATTTTTTTTGGCATTAGTTTCCCTTTAAATCAAGCAGAAAGAAATATGCACAATTATGTAAACCTACAACTACAAGAAGGGCATAATAATGCTATTGATGTCTACAGATTGTACACCTTCCAATAATACATCATAGGAAGGGCTCCCCGTCTGAATATTTCCCTTTCTTTCCTTAAATTATAGACTCTCACTCAAGTGCAGTTCTGTAGGGGCTGACTACCCTCTAGCATCGTGGCCATTCTTGATTTGTGAATCGAGGTGAGTGTTGGCAGCCATGGAAGCATCAAGCCATGTCCAACTGTATCCACATCCAATACCCAGGCAGTTATATTTTCCAACAAAGTTCAGCAATGAGGAATACAAATTTGAAGGTAATTTCCTCTTCATCACCCAGGGACATAAAGGCCAACAGTCAAGTCTGTTGTCTGTCATGCACCCAACAGTTTACTTTGATCAGACAGGCTAACTCAGGACAGAAAGGCAATTGAACCAGACACTGACTCTGATCATGTGATAAGTACATTGCCAACTCTACTACAAACGGGGAACTCAGAGAATATGAAAAAGAAAAAACATTGCTAGAACAGTTTGACCGGGATGCAGTTTTGCAAAGCTAAAGCAGAGACACAAGTAAACCATGTGCTCTTTTCATAATGTACCCTATTGTGCATCCAACTAAATTGATTTTGTTTTTATATCTCTTCATTTTCAGACAATCAAGTTAAATATGGAGTCTCGATACTCTTTCCATTTAAAATTATGAGATCCTGACTTCATATTTAGGGTTATCTTGTCTACAGATAAATGCTTTTTCCTGTCTTCCTTGTCACTGATGAGTGCATGCTGGAACAACAACAAAATTACATTTATATAGCGCCTTTCACACCGAGAGGACATCCCAAGGTGCTGGGCAATCAGTGTTTCGGACCCGAACTGGGGGGGCGGGATCAGGGAAGATGGAGGGCATTGGCGGAAGGAGGGTGATCGAAGGCACAGTCGAAGAGGAGGGTCTTGAAGGAGTCAAGGGCGTGAGGTGGAGGGACTGCAGATGGAGTTTCAAAGGGTGGGGGCAGAGTGGCTGAAGCTCTGTCCACCAATGGTGGAGCAGGCGAGGCGGCGGACGTGAAGCAGGCCGGAGCCCGCTGAGCGGAGGGAGCGGGCAGGATGGTAGAGGGATAGGAGGTCGCAGAGGTAGGGGGTGAGAGAAGGCCATGGAGGGCTTTGAAAGTGATGACCAGGATCTTGAACTGTATTCTCTGTGTGATGGGAAGCCAGAGGAGTCAGGCGAGAGTGGGGGTGATAAGAGTCACGGAGCCTGGTGCTGGAGAGGACACGGACTGCAGAGTTCTGGATGATCTGCAGCCTATGGAGGGAGGAGTTGGGGAGGCTGATAAGCAGGGAGTTTGTAGTCAAGCCTGGATGTTATGAATGGGCATATAAGGGTTCTGGTGGCTTGTCGTGTGAGACAGTGGCGAAGCTGGGCAACGTTGCGGAGGTAGGGTAAAACAGAACAGGTCATGGCACGGACGTGGGGCAGAAAGGATAGTTGAGGGTCAAACAAGATGCCAAGGTTCTGGACTGGCTCAGTGAGGTGGAGCGTGCATCCTTGGATGGTGATCCTGTCAACAACTGAGGTGTGGAGGCGCTGATAGGAGCCAATCAGGAGGGATTCGGTCTTTTTGACATTCAACTGAAGACAGTTAGCTCTCATCCAGCACTTGATGTCTGACAGACATTCTGTCAGGACAGCAGTAGTCTTGGAGTCGAGGGTGGAGTCAGAGAGATGAAGTTGTGCATCATCCACATAAATGTGGAAGTTGACCCCATATCTGCAGATGATGTCACCAAGAGGGAGCATACAGATATTGAAGAGGAGGGGACCAAGGACAGAGCCCCGAGGAATGCTGCATGAGCTAAAGGAGAAATCGTTTGTGGAAATGAAGTGGAGACGGTATGAAAGGTAGAATCTGAACTATTCAAGGACAGAACCATGAAGGTTGAGGTGAGAGGAGGTGTAGGAGAATAAAGTGGGCAACGGTATCAAAGGTAGCAGAAAGATCAACGAGGCCGAGGAGGCAGAGGGAGCCCTGGTTGCAGATGGACAAAATATAATTTGTCACTTTGGCCAGTTATTTCTGTGCTGTGCTTGCATGAAACCTGATTGGAGGGGTTTGTGGAGGGAATAGTGGGAGAGGAAGATGATGTAAAATACAGTCTTGCCACTGTAGCAAGAACATTTGAATACTTGTGTGAACATTATAATGCTTAACCTCCAGTCATAGCAAAATTCAGAGTTGATAATACTTTTAACTGGAAATGAACCAGAAGCTACTGAATATTTACAACTATGGCAACTGTTTGCCCACTGGTATGATTGGACATTCAGCTCATATTAATTATATCCAATATGAGATTTTTTTTATTAAGTATTTTCGATCACGCACCAGCATGTTCAGTACTCAATTACATTCTACTATTCAAATTACAGCATTTATAAAGTTAACTACTGCTGTAACAGTAACAAACACTAACAAATTTTATAAAACTAATGCAAATCCTGAATGCTATGAGCCAACGAGTATCAATCAAGAAATGTGTTAAACAGTCAGACTTGAGATTTACCTGAAAGGATTGGCACTAGAGTTGTGAACTCCACCTGGAAGCCCATCAGTTATTGAGGTGTCCAAGCTCACTGGACTGTTACTGTTACGCTCACTGCTCTCATAACCCGACTCCATTCTCTGTATAAGACGCTCATTGTCTCCAAGACTAGGGATCCCAGTCTGTTGAATAGTTTTGCTCATGTACCCAGGTTTATCAAGTTTATCATGATTGAGTTGCACAGCATTTCCTTCATACTTTGTATTGTCTAATGCCAAAGGAGAAATGCTATGTCCGACTGAACTTTCAGGGTGATTACAGTTGGAATCTTTAATACCATCCTCTGACATTGAATTTATCTGTGCATAACTTGTATTTCTCTTCTTTTCCTTGCTGAAAATACTGTCAATGTTGAGGACTTCTCTTTTGGGTTTCCACAAATAGGTTTTGCATCTACTGGACGTATTAGTCTTGGACTGACTGCTGGTATTTTCCATTTCCCAATCATGTGACTGTTCATTGGACACTCTAGTATTACCACCATCAACATAGTCCATTGCCTTTGTTTGAACAGGTCGATTGCTGTTTTGGTCTTGGCTATGCAGAGGCCGGTTATGAATTATGTTACTCATAGTTTCTCTGAAGTCTTTTAGTCTACTCGTAGCAACTTTTGGTCCAGTTCTTGGGGCTTGTTTTTCCTTTAGTGTCTCACCTACAATTTAAGATACAAAATAGATAAGAACATAAACAAGTGGCAATTCCAAGACTCAGACATGCACCTTCTCCTGCAGTAACACTCCAATCTGCATTTTAATTTTGGGTACTTCACAACAACAAATATTAGAAAAGGGAACTTGTCTTACCCTCACTGTGATAACCAGAGAATGGAACTTCATCCAATTTTTCAGGTTTTCCATGATTATCAGTACGTCGAGGTCGGCTGGAACTCCTCCTCCGGTCCACATAAATCCCTTTTTTGAAAGGAGGATGTTGGTTAGATTCACTGTCTGTATGGTGGCCAAGGGCAAAACATATAATTTAAAGGAAAAATATGTCTAAGGGCCACTGAATAGGACTCTTAAAAAGATTTATGCCAGTCACGATGATGCAAATTAATATAAATTAATGTAAGAAATACATATGCAATCCATTTTATCTTCAGATTACACCTGAAGAGACAATAGGTTGCATAAGCGTTTCTTATAATGATTCAGTAAAAAAATGTTCACTTTTATTTGAAGATCTTATATTGCATTCAGGCTGGGTAATCAACACAACACACTAAAAGAAAGCAATTTGGGCTAGCCACAGACTGTGAGCTCCAATAAGAACATTTCATTTGGAGAAATGCTTGAACCATTTAAGCCTTTAAGCACTTTTATTTGCAGCTTTTAAAATCTAGGCTTTCCATTATATAACATTTACAGCTTAAATTCTACACTAGTAACAGAAGAAAGGTGCATGACTGCAGCTAGCCAAACAATTATTTTACAAAGATTGATGTTGAAATCCTTTTCGAAATAACTAGTTTGATTCTACTTTAACTCATCTATCTTCACTCCAAAATTACAGTTGTTAATATCACCCACACTTTGCAAATCATGATTTACTTACATTTTATCTATCTATACAGTCTGACAGATGTTTTAAATTTATCGCTGCTGTATTTATATCAATTTAGAGTACCTGTGTCTCTGCTACTTTGAGAGGCTGTATCATTCCCCATGTTGTAAATCACTGTGCCTTGGGAGTCAGAGGAGAAATGGCTGGCCACAGACTCATGATGACTGTGTTTATAATGATAGCTTTCATTAGAAGAATCTGTTCTGCTATCACTGGATATAGATGGCTCTCTTCCTGCAAAAAGGACAAGCAAACAAAATAACACACATTTAGCTGACAAGTAAATACATTTCTAAAAGTTATACCTACCATCTAATTAGGTTTGCCGAGCAGCAGTTTTGATGCATATTTCTTCACTTTTAAGGCATTTCTAAGAGTGTAGTAAACATCGGAAACAAAAGACCTTCATTTTAGAACTGTTAAAGTCAACCAATGAATCATCCTTTAACCTACAAGCAGGTCTTTCAAACTTTGAAACTTTCAAGGATAATAGTTACAAAAGCAATTTTCTACATTGTCAAATATATCAGTTATCTGAGAAAAACAGGAAACCCAAGTGTTGTGCTCAGCAAGAAAACAGGAGAAAAATCTCTACACTAGGTTACATCGCTTCTAAGAAATGTCAACTCCCTCAGAGATTGGGAGTTACTATTGGAATCCCTTTCCAAAGTTATAAATATGTAAAGAAAAGCTGGAAAATATCAAAGTTACATGAAAGGTCCTTGTGTTTCTTATTTTGGCATGTTTCAACTTTTGATATCCTTAGAGGATCATGAAGAATAGTTAGATTTCAACACCAGAGCCAGCGAATTATCAGTAATAATGCAATGTTTTTATGAGTTTTTTTTACTACATTGCTTCTCTCCCTGCCCACACACCAGCAACAAATCTATTTCTCAGGCTTCACAACGGCATTCTGATCTGACCAACAGAAGAGACAACTATCTCTCCATCTAATTTTCTCTCCAATGTGGAGTACAATTTTACAGATGTGGGAAGCGATTCATTCATTGCCAAAAGCCTTTGGTCTTCCTTAGTAGTTTTCAGCAGCAATATGGCATCAGTAGACATGTATCACTAATATTAGGGTTTTGAAAGGAGTAAGGAAAACAGCACTAGTGATGATCAATTCTGTACAGAAAAACAAGTCAGAAGAGGAATGAACCTTGGTCTTTACAGATGCTTTTCAGGTAACATTTGCAGAAATGAATAGTCAATTTTGAGATGGGAGTTCAAAATAATAATTTGAAGGACACATAATTGGAATATTCAAATAACAAATTAGAATACACTGTAAATTTCATAAAGTAATATTTTGTCCCCCAAAAAATATTTTGTGGGGCAGGAAAGGTGAAAGATTTAGTCAAGAAACTGGAACACATTGGTAAGATAAGGCTTTATACTCGATGCCTTACAGCAATTTCCCAATCACATCCACATTATGAACGATGCACAGTGAGAAACAAAGGCATCAGTTAGGATACCATTTTCTTTAGCACAACGCCTACCAATCTGCTCATGAGATTTAGCAGACCACAACCTTGTCATGAGTGAGGAACACTATGTAAATGATGTTGAGGGAAGAGATAATATAAAAAGGGGCTTTTAAGCAGTTGTTGAATTCTTCTGCAGTAAACATTTAGCACAGAGCTGACTTAATTATGAATGAATATTTAATGTGTTTTGCCTACCTGTATAGAGATGTTAACCACCTATGAGTAATTAAATATCAAACTTGCCTGAATCTTCACTGTCATAGTAAGTTCTGTTGTATTGATGGATGTCCACTGAAGGCAAGTCCTGCACACACACAGGTGTACCTCTGGGATCAGCATAAAGTAGTAGCAAAGGTTGATAGTGGCTCTTGATGCATCTAGTTACCACATCTTTCCATTTTGGTCCAATCTAAAATCAAATATAGTTAGCAGAGTTGAAGCTTTTTCTGCATAATTTTAACTGCTTCTTCAGTATCAAAATGGTACTTAATTATTCTTTGCATATCACAGATCATCACTAATACAGAAGTATTTATAATTAGACAATACAAGGTACAGGTAAAGGTACCCTTTATCACAGTGGTTTGGGTTCAAAATCTCAAGCCAAGTTTTATAATAGGGCTCACTAAAAATGGCCACCATCAGCACTTCACAATCGTCAGGTAACTGTCGACTTTACTTCCTGTGCACCAGAAAGCTGGCAATCACTCTGACAAGTGTTCCAGTTGAACAGTGTTTCAGTTACGGGAACACTGCTCAATGTTGGGAGGATTCCTCGCCTGAGTCCTGTGCACAGAGACCCAGTCAGTCAACACAAGAACCTGAAATTGGACTTCCAATATACAATAGATCCACAGTAATCAGGCTCACGCTATATCAGAAGTACAACAGGGTTCGCCTGGATGTCCAAAAACATGTTCTTTGAATCGAATGTGAATTGTATTTACAATTATAACCTTTTATCTGTGGTAAAAATAGAATGTCAAAGTGCTTACTGCTTGAAGTAGAAGTGAGAGTTCATGGGTTATAATCATAGAAAGTTAAATGTTTGTACTGGAGCTAGCTCACCCAGTGGAACTATCTACTCTAATCATATTCTCTTGCTCTTTCCTCTTAAGCTTTTACATTATTTTCTCCAGTATATATTCAATTCCCTTCTAAATATTTTTTTGAACAACTTTAACAGCTAGTTCTGGTAAGGCATTCTCGCATTCTAACACCCAACTTCAAAACAATCTTATTCAAGATCCTCACCCTCGTCTTCAAATCCCTCCACTCCTCTGCATCCCCCTACCTTTCTGACCTCCTCTCTCCGCAAAACAGTGCCCTTTGCCTTTGCTTCACCGGGTCTGGCCTCCTCCTTGTCCCCCGAGTCCTCCGTTCCACAATCGGCGGCCGTGCCTTCAGCCACTATGCCCCAAGGCTCTGGAACTCCCTTCCTCACTCCCTTTGCCTCACCCCCTCTCTTCCTATTTTCAGGTCTCTGCTGAAGACCTTTCTTTTCGACCGTGCCTTTGGTCACCTTCCTCCCCTCCCCCTGGCTCGGCCCCGGGATCCGTTACTGTGAAGCGCTCTGAGATGCCGTCCCGCGTGGAGGGCACTATATAAATCCATGTTGTTGTTGTATTATTTTGTTAATGTATACACTGTTGCTGCAATCTGAATTCAAGTCCTGAGGTCAAACAAATTAATAGAAGCAAACACCAGTATATTTAGCACACTATGAAACATGTCGCATTCCCTTCAGTGAGTGCAACCTAGTTTCAGAGTATCTACCTCCCAGCAGTATTCAACCCCCACTGTCAGAAACCATGTTTTGAAAACCTAATTATAAACTTTGCATGGAAAATAGAGAAATAAATGATAAACTAAGTATAAAGTATAAATGGATATAACTAACAGATTTGCAGCGAGAACACGTTTATGGACATCATTAAACCTAAAGTTCAGATCAGCCACTTCAATTACCATGATATTTGAACAATATTATATTAGTGTTATAAATAAACATTTCAGGATAAAGAATTTTTACCTCTTTTACATGAGCATCATCAAAGTACATCCATTTGCGGATTTTTGTTTGGAAAAAGAAAGTGGAATAGTGTTTACCATAGTAACACACCATCCCCACCAAATAGAGCTCAGCGTGCTTGGCCTTGTCATCCGTCACCCGATAAAACAACTGCAAAGAACAAATGGTAATACATGAACTTGATAAAATCCTGCAAAAGGCTACATCTAAAATCAGTCTCAACATACCATGACAAAGAACGTCAAATTCTTTTAACTAACATTCTGGTCTTTTATGAAAACAAATTGAAAAGGAGTTTTTTTGTCAGCTAATACACAAACCCTCTAATGACGATTCATGAAATAAATTGGTGCTTTAACCTAGAAGAGCCACATTTTCTTACAAAGCAACTAAATTTCAAATTCCTGTAATTACAGACACAGATTCTGTTTGTGGAACACTGCTGTGTGCAATTGGCTGCTGCGTTTTGCCCAAAAATATACAATCAATTCACTTTACCATATATTCTGTTAAGTGCTTTGAGACATCTCGAAGATGTGAAAAGCGCTGTATCAAATGCAAGGATTATTATTTATTTTATTATTATAACACATAAATATTCATTATCTTACATCTCCCAGTTTGAGGCATGTTCCTAGGCTATGGATGACATCTTCAGCAAGATCAGAATGATCGGAGTCCCATACTAAACCGATAGTGATAATCTCGGGGGAGTTCATTAATACTCTGCGGATTCTTATCTTCTCACCGCAGTTGCCCTGTAAAGGAAATATTAAAAAAAATTCTTACATTTGAATTGAAGGCTTCCACCTTCTCAAACCATAGAAGAGCATATTGCTGCTCTATCGCACTGTACCTCAGAACATTCTGATAAGAGTCACTATAACAATTATAACCCTTTTAGCCATGATGAGGCAACAAACAGAACCAGGTAGAAACTTGCTATTAACTCTTGTGTAAATACAAATATTTCAGAAGTGAGTCAAAAATAAAGAAACACAGCAGTCAATACTCAACCATATTTTTCAGCATAGTCCTAGTTTAAGAGAAATTCACACATTCCACATATTTGCTGATGCAAATCCATATTAAGATTCATAATTATTTAGGTCATTCACTGTCACAAAGATGAAACTCTTTTTGAACCTTGGTTTGAATTTATCCCAGACTCATTTGATGAAATTCTCCTGTCAGTTCTAAACATTTAATGAGAAGTACTTTTGGCCAGTTTAAACCAGTTGCTTGTTGAATGACTCACCATCTCAGAATGTCCAAATCCAGCACTATTTGGCAGAGGCTAAAAGGATCACTGCTGTGGAACTGAAATAATGAACACTGATGCAGTAGGGAAGCTATTTCTCACATTGCAGTTAAGATGCGCTGTTTAGGCAGAATGAAGGGAACTTTAATGTGTATCCAGTTTTCTCAAAGCTCATCTGACAATGCCTCAAATGCTGACAGTGGGTGGAAACAATTTATTTCCACATTGCTGACATACAGTGAATTCCATGCTACCAATCAAATTTAAGTTGTTTGCCAATGAGGAGAAAAATCTTACACAACGTTTTCCAGATTTCTGAAGGTACTGAGACGCAAAACCAAATAATGGAAGAATAGTTATTAAAATGATCCTTTTATTTAAAAAAGGAACTATCCAAAGGTTACAACTGAGATGCAATTTGATGAAAATCGTGAACAGACAATTTTTCAAAATCAAATTATACCTGAAAACAAATAATTCTACTTCCATGGAATTAAGAAAGAGAAGTGAACGGAATGGTACCCTTTTATGTTGAAACAATATTACTACTACTAATAATAATAATAATATTAAAGGTAATGGGGAAGGAGCAGTGAATTGGAATTAAGTTATATAACTCCTGCGGTATAATTTCATAGAATTATAGAATCATACAGCACAGGAGGAGGCCATTTGGCCCATCGTGTCTGTGCCAGCTCTTAAAAAGAGCTATCCAAATCAATCCCATTCCCCTGCGCTCTCCCCATAGCCCTGGAAACTTGTCCTCCACAAATAATTACTTACTTCTCCTCAAAAGTTGTTATCGAATCGGCTTCCACTACCCTTTCACCCAATGCATTCCAGATCTGAATAACTCACTGTGTGAAAAAGTTTCTCCTCACCTCCCCTCTGTTTCTTTTAAATCGGTGTCCTCGGGTTACCGACCCACCCACCAGTGGAAATAGTTTCTCCTTGTTCACTCTATCGAATCCCCTCATAATTTTAAAATCTTCTATTAAGTCTCCTCTTAACTTTCTCTGCTTTTAAGAGAATAATCCTAGCTTCTCTAGCCTATCCTAATGACTGAAGTCCCTCATTCCTGGTACTATCCTGGTAAATTTCCTTTGCATCCTCTCCAATGCCTTGACATCCTTTCTAAAGTGTGGTGCTCAGAACTGAACACAACACTCTAGCTGAGGCCTACCAGCTGAGGCCTAACCAATTTCCACTGGCTAATTTGGTTGATCAGTCAAATGGCCTGCTTTTGTGCTGGCAGTGCATTAAAATGTTGAATATTAAGCTCAGATTCCAATAATTCGTTAAAATTGTTCACCATGTACAAAACAGATGAGGATTAGTAGCAAAGTCCCTGAATGTTACAAATATATTCAATCCTCTTTACAATTGAACAGTTTCTTCAGTTCAGTGCTGTAATCCTGGTATGCCACAAAATCAAAGCCTTACTAAACCCATTTGAACTAGAACCTGGAGTTGCTCCATTACAATTCTTTCCATGTGCAAAAAATATTGACTTTGAGCTGTCCTACTTACATTACAATTCACAATGGGGCAACATAAATGTAAATCTTAAATTTTACAAGCTGCAGGCACATCAAATCACAGTAAGGTTGAAGCGATTGTGACAAAGGGTCATCTTGAGTTTGCATTTTATAATTTAAACACACAAAATGGTCAGGTGGGTTGCCTGCAGCTTCAAGAGACAGGACAGTTGCTCCTTCATCCTGGTTTAACAAGATATGGTGACATTTTACTCAAGAATATGTACTCTTTATGTATATAGAATGGTTTTAAAAGATACGTTACTTCCTACACCTTTGCTGATGACTGAATAATCACTTGTAATCAGAGGGGAACTAAAAAAAACTTCTGTAAAATGCTTTTAATTCTTAAGTCTAAAATGCTGATAATTGGCACACACATAAAATAGAACTGCATTGTTTTAGATGCATTTAACAAAATACATGAAACTGACTAGATAGATTTAACTACAAAGATGAATAATTAAATGGAAATATCCGTCAATCTGAAAAATTATTGTGCATACAATGTGAATAAATGCACCTCACTTAGCTGAAAATTAGTAGAAGTACAAATAGATGATGCTTTAATACAACATACACATGTTTTGCTATCTAAACCTCATTCTTTTCTGGATTTATAAAAGGTCACACAGGCCATTACAAATGACGTTCGGTAATCTTAATTGCATGGTTTGTTGAAATTAATGTAATTGGTTTTAGCAATTCAATTGGAGTAAGTTCTGGTGGCTGCCAGCAGCACAGCTGTGTTCTGACAAATGGCTACCTACTATGTGCAGTATATCAAATTACATTACCATTTGTAACCAATATTAAAAAAAATCCAAGTGTATGGTTTCACTTCTCAAACTCAGGCCCCCTTACACACTGCAGAAGGTCGTTAGGAACAGTGTCTTTCCAGCACGCTCCTGCAGTATATAAAGGATGTTGGGAAACAAAATATTATTGAAAAATAAATTTAAAAAGTCTGTCTAAATTGTTACATTTTTCTAAACATCTATTTTATGTTCACAATTATTTTAAATATCATTCCTTTGTTCATTATGGAAACTTAGCTTAAAAGTAAATAGTGAAGTTGTGGTTGATGAAACATTTTGTTTCCAAATAGTAAAATTACTACAACAAGCATCAATACAACAATAATGTTGATTGTAGTGAACGGAGCTACTTAGAATGATCAGTGGTCTAGTCTTCGCAATTTGCTTTTTTAAACCATTAAGATGCTGCATTTTATTACCAAATATTTAAAATTTCATATTCCATATTTAATTTCAAAATATTGTCGAAGTCAATGAGTAGAAACAAAATGTCATTAATGGTGAAGACTGAAATTTTTGCTTGGTGGTTAACTGATCAATAAACAATAATTACTCACTATGAAACATCACAGATGTCCTTAAATGAAATATTCAGTTGTTAAATGCTCAGTGCGCTTTAAAAAGTGCTCCTAGTCTTTGCCGTTTCCAATTAACTACTGACTGTGATCAATCACCATTCAGCAGTAGTAATACGCTGAGTAATTAGTGTGATTTACTCACAACAATAATCTCAGAATCAATCTCCAGAAATGCAATGTCAAGGATTTATTCATCTAAACATTTTGGAATATTATACAGTTACATGAATTATCTGACCGAAGATCCAAGAGTCTAGCTAGGCCAAATTATACATTAGCAGACTCAAATTCTCAAAGCTTTTTTGCAGTTGATGCCAATGAGAATATCAGATACATGGGCAACCCTCAATCATAACCAATAAAAAGTCAAGTTTACTTTAAACCCCAACTGCTTCTCGGCTTTATGTGCCATAACACACAAGCTTGTTGTTAAGGAGAACAGCAACAGAATAGAGCTTTAAAACAGCACTCAAGCTGGGCAAGACCAATAATTGTGTTCTTCCATTCGCCCACAAACATGGGAAGAGATCCAACATCAATTTTTAATTAGACCCTCATGTACATTGTGTTGACAGACTAATGAGGGATGCCACTGCAATGACCCAAACAAGCTGCAAGTAAAAGTAATTAGTGTTGAACTGACCCTTTGACTGTGCCCAGATTTCCCTCTTTTTATTAGGTGGTGGGGGTGGGGAAAAAGGCAAAGAACAAAACTGCAGATTCTACAAAACTTCTTGCAGGGCAGCATTAAAATAAGAAATTTAGTATGAAAAGTTGGAAAATGATGTCATTTCTATTTTACAATGTTGTGCCTAAGAAAGCTTGATCGTGAAATAACTTAATAATCGAAAAAGTCAATGGACCACTGAAAACATAACTGTCGTTGCTGTAAATCAGGTCAAATATCCAAAGATAGACTACTAGACTCCAGCACTTTTTGCAGATGGACAAGTTAATAACATTTTAATCCAAATCCCTTTATTTATCTCAAAGTCACTTCATCTGTTCATTGCTTTATTCAAATCATTAAAATATCAGTGGGACTGCTTTTGTTTTGCTACCATTCAATCTGCCGTGTGATCAGGATACAGAAACCTTAAACGTATTGAACTCTGCATGTTCATCAATAAATCACAAGCATTCAAATTCCAGCTACATTCTCAGACCATCTTCCTATTGAAGTAAAAATTACCATGGAGCTTGGTATTTTCAACACAAAAGAATCCCAGTAAGTCATAAATATGTTTCAAATAGTTTTCGTGCTAATACAGTAGGATAGTAAAAAGATAAATAGAGAAAATCCTTTCATACTTCAATAAATCAAGAGATGGACCTGAACATAACTATTTTTAGTTTTTTTTTCATTTTTCAAAATGTTTCCCCCAGTTTCTTTTAATAATAATCATAGCTTTTCCCAACAACTTTACCCTAATAGTTGCTGCAAAATAACAGCCAAGATGAATGGCTAACTTTAATCCAGGCCAAAAATTCTCCAGGTGCATTGGATATTCACCTTAATAGTTTGTGAGACATTGCTGGTACATATGTTTACATGTCTACATACAAAAAAGTCGCCATACTAGACTAATTACCTGCAAAGCACTTGGAACCTCTCATTGTAGAAAGTCATTATAAAAAATTTAAGCTCTTTACTAAATCTGCTGGCAACTGAGATTCACTTCAGATCACATAATTGCTGCACTGCTCATTAGGACCAAGTAAATTCAAATAGATTTTGCATAAATTTGAATTAAATATAGTCCTTGGATCAGCCGATTTAAATATTCATTTCTGTCTTCTTCATGTGAAGTGCAACACAGAATTCTTTTGTATTTAAATCTTCACAAGGACATCTAATAGGAAGAGAAAAGCACTTACTGGGCAGTTCCTAAGATCACCCATTGTGCTTGCGTTCTGCAGAAGCTCCCCAAACATGTCAGGCGTTGGTTTCTCACGTCTTTCCATCATGCGGATTGCTTGATTACTACACAAAAGGAACAAAACAGAAAAGAGTTGGTTCCCATGAAAACCTACAAATCCTCTGCTCTGTCACAATCACATCAAATTTATGACAAATTGAAAAATTGCTGCCAATCCCACTTAATCACATAGCAAATAATAGTATACTATTTAAATTTAAACAAGAGCAAATTGCTATGTAAAAAACTTCTTGTAATTATGCATAGTCATTTTGGGCATAACAAAACCGTGTTTGCAATACCACATTAAGAAGCACTTGACACCTTTGTATATACAGTATAGAAGTTTTAAAGAGTTAACTATTTTCCTCATATTTAAATTTACACAGCAATCTTTCATTTAAACAACTAGATTGAAAATATAGGTCACCATTTGCATCTCTGTACCTAAAAGGTCTCAAGGTTTAAACTTATTTCGAAGCATTTTCTTATCCCCTACCCCCCATACCCCGCTCCCAAGGGGGTGTTGTAAAAACACAGTCTTAATAGTTTCTTTGATGTATTCTTCTAAGAAAAAGTTAGTTTAGTCAATAAACAAAAAAGCTCCAATCCAAAATAACTGACTTCCTATTAGTCTTCAGTATACCAAATCCCAGGTTTACATAATTGCATAGAGCAAAGAATCATGACAGTCTGCAAGAATAATTTTCAGACAGTCCTAACTTGCCTGCATGCTAGAAACGGATTCTACTGTTCCCATTTAAAATACACCCGGTAATTTCATTTTATATTACAAACCTTTTATTTTCTAATCCCACAAACAGGTTTTGAAATTTAAATGGATATTTATTCCACTTCAGCATTTGAAAGAGTAATAAAAAGCTTCTGTTGGATTTTCCAATAGGTCATTAGGGAACATTGTACACTAAGCCTTTCTGATCTTTCACTTCTTTATCTCAATTCTATCACAGGCTTCTTTTTTATATGAGTGTATTGCCAAGTAAAGTTCAGGCTTAGTGCAGTCATCATTAGGAAAGGCTTACCACAGTGCTGTTGTAGAGATGTAATTCACCATCTGGATGAAAGGTAATGGGTCAGATGTTGCACCACAGCTGGTACAAACGCACTAGAAGAAGCACAATTATTCAAATCATTCACAAAAAGATTAACAATCTTGAATAAAGTTTGCAAAGCTTTCTGCTTATTTCCAACTAAACATTATCAAGTTAGAAGTCCAGTTAAAAACTACCCAGGTAAGTAATGCTACATCATTTGCAGGGCAATTATCAAGGTCTGAAACACTGATAATTACATTGGTGTTATCAGTAGGTTCACAAAGATTTAATATAGTTCATGCAAGAAAATACAACATTGAAGAAGCCTCTTGATTCATGTTACATACAAAAACACCTATTTTAACAGTATTGAGCACTGGAATAAACGTGTATTGTTTGCACCAATTCAAATTGCAACAAAGTTTAATAGTTACATTCTTTTTCACAAGGAAACAATTTTTACATCTTTGTAATATATAGGTGTACTTCTTGAAATATTCTTCTAAATGTCAATTTGCTTTCGGAACATGGTGCCAGGAAAACTCAACCTAAGTAAAGGTTTATAGACTCCCACACTACTTTTCCATAAATTAAACATGGATGTATCTTACCTGATCAAACAAAGTCATTGCAAACTTCTGATGAGGAATGCAGTGTTTTGCCGTGCAAATGTCCTCTTTTGTTTCATCAGCAATATGAAAATGAATTCGCATGAGGATATTTTCCTATATTTAATAAATATTTTTTGTTGCAGTTAATCCTCTTGAGTGAAAAACAAAATATTTAGTAATAAATAAACAAAGTGTCAACAGCAATTCCTTTCTCCCCCCATTTTCTGGAACTCTATTCCATATTCCCTCTGACTCACCATTTCTAAGGTCCATCTCAAGACCTTAGCATTCAACTACATGTTCAGTTATCTTTTCCCTCCACACCTCCCTCAGCTTGGGTGGCAAGCCATTTTTACATGGCTAGATTCCTGGCAAATTATGACCTAACAATATTTCTCATTAAAACTAAATGGAACAGTACTTTATTAAAATACTCTTATCTGTAAAAGAAAACAATCTTGGGAAATAGCATAAAATTTTGCTCATCTCAAGATGTTCAGAACTCGCTCATTTACAGAAGAATCAGCTGTCACCCAATTGTATTTCTTTTGAGAAACAAAATAATGGGAAATTTCCCCTATGTTAAAGCCTGCAGTTCAAAATTTAAAAAGCAACATTGATGGTTCATTTTTAAACTTACAAAACATTCTGCTGCATCATCCATGATCCCCAACTGAAAGCGCTGTTCATCTTGGAAAGTTTTGGCAAGAGCACTACGCAAGGCATCAGATGGAAGTACCTTTTCTTTGCTGTATTGGAACTGACTGAAGATTTCCTGAAGCAAACAAAAAATAGTCCATACAATTCAAAGTCCAAATATATATATATATAGTATATACAACATATATTTATTATATCTAAAGATAAAAAAAATTTATGGTAGAATCAATGTTAGCGAACCATACAAAATGAGCTGATTTTAGACAGCATTTCCAATTTATTTTAAGAAAAAGAAAACATTTTTGAAGACACCTTATTATAGAGCAATATGTGGACAACACAAATACTTCATTGGTTAATTTAGTCCTTTAGATCAACAGCAGGAGATTCTAAATAAATATGTAAAGCTGGTAAATTTTTCATCCATTGCTAGAGGTAATTTGGTCTATTGTATCTTCCTCAGAGTCAACTCAAACAGGAAGACAAACTCAGCACTGGCCAGGGATCTATACCTGTGTCCTTCCTGGTCGATATGGCACTGAGCCACACCATAGGCTATAGTTAGAATTTTACTGAATATAAATCAATGGGTACAGTTATCTTTTGAAAGGACACAGACAGCAAATAGCATGTTTCTGATGCAGCGTCACTTTGAAACAAAGATCAATCATACAAGTCTACAGTGAACAATGAAAAAGGAAACCATTTACATGTGAAGTGAAACCAAAGAGAACCTCCTGAAAGTGCTTCCAGGAGCTGTATAAAATGTCACGTACAAAAAAGGCACACTAATATGTTACAGTTCAATTAACATTTAAATATGCTCAGATACATCTTGGAGGCCTCTGGTCAATTCGAGGGCTAGGCCACGGCTTCCCGCCTTATCCTACCCTTTGGGACATCCTCCTGACGTGAAAAGCACTATACAAATGAAATTTGTTGTCCTTGTTGGTGTGGGAGCTCAGCGGAAGTTGGACCCACATGCTCAGGTGCAGTGCATACAGCGGTTGGGTGCTGGCTGAGCAAGCAAAAAAGCAGCGCCGAGGGTTTGGGAGCATAAGTTTTAACAAACATAAGTAACTGAAACAACAAGAAGATTACATTTGTATAGTGCCTTTCACGTCGGGAGGACGTCCCAAGGAGCTGAAATTTTTAATTTTTACAACAATTTTTAACAAATAAATTGACAGCCTGGAGCCACTCCATCACACTGACAATTGCTCCCTCTGTAGCCAGCATCCCCCATGGCCAGAAGGAGGATCTGTGCCTAACTTGTGACAGAACCCTTTTCCCTTGGAGTGACAAGTTATTTGGAGTTTATTATATACCATATCAGAGAGCACATGTTCAGTTATTGAATATGATCTGAGATTACTTGACTTAAGAGGGGTGAAAAAAGTCCACTCCTATTAATATGAATCCAATGACAATGAAAACAATTGTAGCATGAATTGTACAGATATTATAGATTTTTTAAAAATAAAGTTTGGTTTTGAGTTCTCCGGATCTAAACTGCGGTCAAACTGCGGTGATTTTCTATTGTGTTCGATTTCACTAGGTGAAATACTGATACTTAATCAGATCAGTATCAGCATTTTATAAAGATGATTATGGCTATGCGTTTTCAAGGGGGGAAAATCATCACAACATTCCACTCAAAAAGATGAAACATTCTGTGCAAGGTCTCTTAAATCATCTGTGGTAGGGGCATTAAAACAGCAATCTCAAACCCTCAGTTACACTTTAGATTTAAACATAATATATATGAGCAAGTGATTAAAATGGATTTGTACATAATTACAACATTGCAAGGATTGATTGTTGAGAGATATTAACCCTGCTGGAATAACTACCATTAACCTTAAACCTAGTATTACATGGCTTTGTGTTGAATGCATCTAAGAGAGTATATATTGAATTTTCAGTTGTGCACATACACATCAGTAATTTACTAGGAATAATATTAAATGCAGTGTGGTCCATAATTTACATTTTATTTAAAATGCATAAACTATTGAAAACCATAACGATTTGTGCCTAATGCCTCTTTGAACTCCAGTTGAAGATGAATTGCATAGAACAGTAGATACTCAAATGCAGCAGAACATGACATGCCATCAATTTGCATCTCAATTTTTAATTACATAGGCATTTTGTTAATGCTTAGTACTACTCTCCATCTAAAGAAATTATACACCATCATATAAGAGTCATGCCACCAGAACAACAGTGAATAAAGTACACCACACAGCATGCCAACCAGAAAAAAATTATAAATACAAATTAGAGATAAAAACGTAGCATTCTCTGAATGGACTTTTAAAGTATTGTGGTAGGGTTATTGTCATTCAAAATTATTATGGTCTTTTTTAAAAAAGCAAAAAGTCAACATCAGACCCATTACTAGCTAAAAATACCATATCTACATAATATTTAATGATCCAAACACTAAGAGCACTGGCAGATTTAAAAAATGTGGTTTGGTCTTCAAACACAGTAGCACACATTCAAAAGGAGGTAAAAACGGTATTTTGAACCTGGTTTATATTGTTGGTTTTGCATATTTCTTGTCATACATTAACATAATCTAAGGTTTGAGAAACTGTATACATGTGAATAAATCATACCAATCCAACCATTGGCTGGGGTTACAATCCGCAAAAGATCTGAAGAGTGTGACCGCTGACACTTAAAATATGATGATGGAGTCATGGCAACAGCCAAGTAAATACTCGCCTACCTGGTTTCTCTACCCTTAATATCACAGCAAAGCATCAATGGATTCTCACTAAGTTTACCAATGTTTGCTTACAATAGGATTAAGACTGTACAGTTTTCTCCCAGAAATGCCTTGAAGTGCATTTGGGTTACATCACTCAGTAAATCCATCCATCTCTCAGCTATTAAAACAAACCAAAATTTCTGTTTTGTAGAACAAATACAATTACTGTTTGGTGGGGTGTGGTGGACTGGGTAGAATGTTGTCTTTAGATAGAAGAAGCTCAGGTTAAAAATATTCCTTGATTAAAACAGTTATTGTTTAAGGCTTTTAGGAATTGGGTTTTTGTGTAAACGTTGAGGGTTAATGGATCAACTGGGCTTTTACCATTGCAAGTTCACTGTGTTATGTTTATATTGCCGAATCATAGCAAGGAATTGTTCTGCAGTGTTACTGTATTTAAGAGTCTTGGTGCTGTGGAAACTATTATTATTTCACAGCTGCCAGATCAAAAGAAGAACCGCATTTGTGTTTTCCTACAATAATTGGTCTGATTCATTCAGTATTAACAAATGCAATATTTTTGTTGGGTTCAGTAGTGGACAATTACTTCCAGAGATATCAATGCAAACATACTCGTTAAGTGGATCTCAAAGCTTACACTTGCATCAGTGCTTACACTTGTTTGCTTCCAACACTGATGTCAGCTTCGTGCTATAAATGAATGGACCCAATCACATAATTGTCTAGCTCGTACTGCATTTTAGTAACAAATCACCATTAAAAACTCTACATTATTTACTAATGACTGCACATCCTTGCTGTAGTCTTTAATGATTTTGACAACTCCATTTTAAAATCTACTGTTGAAGTGCAGAACAGCTCATATCTTTGCCACCACCTTTAATTTTACTAAGGCAACATGAAAGATTACATAACTGTACAAAAGCAATAAATGACATCTAACCAACAAATCTGTCACTGAAGTATGTTAATACAAAAAAACTGAAAAGCTATCCGCTAAAAGAAAATTTAAAATATCAATGAATCCTTCCCATCCTCTTTAAAAAACTGACTAAATAGGAAATAATAGTCAACAGTTCTTTACATGAACAATCAACAGTCTAGTGCTATTCAGTAAAGCCCAGAGTTTAGATGAAAGAAATGCAATTGCAAAAACATGCATTCAAGAGGCTGCCATCTATAAATCAAAGTAAACCAGGAGAGAATAAAGTTCTTTCTATTTCAATTTCTATTTCAATTTCTATTTCAATTTCTCAATCTTCAAGAGACATGTCCCACATGAATTCAAGAGAGAAATTTGCACAATATAAACAGATGCCAAGAATTTCTTAGCATAGTTTATAACCCCTGTACTTTGCTAAATGGCAGTAACTGATGCAAATTTAATAAAGAGAACATGAAGTACTCTGCTTTCAAATTGAATCAAAGGAATTCAAAACTATTGTCAACATTCAGTATGTGTGAACAGTACTTTAGTTCTATAATCAACAGTTCAAAATGATTTCACATAGCATAAATATCTTCATTAATAAATGATTACCATTTACAACATCAACAACTTGCATTTATGTAGCTCCCTTCATGTGGCATAACGTTTTTGAGAGCTTTATAATGCCAAGCAAGGTGACCATACAAGCAGGTAAAGAGGTAGGTCTTTAGCTGTAGAAAGTCAAAATGTAGCTGTAGTGGGAGGGAGATCTAGAGATTAGGGGCATAGTAGCTGATAGCCAATAATCCTTGCTTTTTTTTGTATTTAATTATAACGCCTTATCACGTCTTCGAGAGACATCTCAAAGCACTTCACAAAATATAATGTAAAGTGAATTGACTGTATATTTTGTTGGGGAAATGCAATGGTGGCATAGAGGGGGTGGGTGACACCCAACAGGCCTGAGTTAGCCGAATAGAGAGGCTAAATGGAAGAGTTAGGCAGGAAGAATGCAGATAGGGAGGTGTTAAGGCGTGAAGGGATTTACCAGTTATGGTGAGGATTTTGAAATATATCTGTGCTGGAACAGGGAGTCAGTGCCACCTTGTAATGACTGGGTGATGGGTGTGTAGAATTTGGTGTGGGTGAGGATATGAAGCCAGAGCTTATGGATGGTGAAACTAGAGAGCATCAAGGAGGATGTTTGAAAAATCTAGGAGAGAAGTAACAAAAGTGTGAATGAAGGGAGCTGCCCATCAAGTCGCCATTTATTATAACTTATTAATTTGACATAGTACCTACGACATTGAACTGTCTCAAAACACTTCACACATAGTTGCCGTCAAGTGAAGCTGTAGACAAACACTGAGGCAATGCTGTACGACATCCCACCAACATCTCTCCTCTCTCTCAATCATTTCCTACCCTTCTTCCCCGCTCTCCCACACACATTGTCTATATCCTTCTCTATCTCCCCCTCACACACACACGCACGCACACACGCGCGCGCACACACACACACACGCGCGCGCACGCGCACACGCACACGCACACGCACACTGTTTCTCCTCTCCGCACTCTTTCCTCTTTCTCTCAATCAGTCACACCAGTCACTATCTGCAGCGGCAGGAGCTGCCATTTGCTAAGCATGCGGTTGGTGAGAGATGCGTTTGCTTTCCTAACATACTGCAGCAACTGCACACAGTAACAGCAGCCAGTAGTTGGGAGGACGAAGCATGGGGAGTGAAAATAATAGTGTGGTATTATTTCCACTTCCCACGCTGTGTCCTCCCAATATCGGCCACTGCCACAAGCAGAACGTTCGCTGCGGAGGGAAGCAGCGAAGTTGGAAATAGTCTTGGACCAGATAAAATCACGCTGTTGGACCATAAAATCACGCTGTTGCATGCTTTATGGGGCAGTACTGAGCCACAAGGTCAGAAAGGTTCCAGATTTCATCCCCATTCTGCGGCGAATTAGATCTCAGTCAGGGGTTGCGGTGAAGAACTAAAACTGATTTCAGTGTTGGATTAGGAAGCTTTAAATTCATCAACCAGGATTTCTGCTCCTAATTATTATCCAGTGACAGCTAGACTGTGCAAACAAGGACAGAGGCTCATTGATCTACTGTGAAATCGCCATCAATGTTCCAATTATTCAACATACACTTCACTTAACAATTTAATCTAAAATAAGACCAATTTGACATCTCCACACAACGTATCTGATGTTACACCACAAATGTCACAAAGAAGCAGAATAGCCGCATATAATGTAAAGCAGCTGCCATTTTTGAGAAACTTTTAAAATACCTTGATCTATTTCAACTGCAATTCAATGCTACTAAAAATTTTTTTTAAATAAGTGTCACGCAAGAAACGCAAAGCTAATTTTGAGATTTGAAATACTATCTAAATATGCCGCAAAAACACTTTAAAAATAAAGCCTCAGTCTCTATTCAATGTACACCAGCTGGGAAGCAACTTTTGCACATTGAATTTAAATGATTATTGAACTGGCTCAGTGCTCTGTGGAAAATTCCTTAAAAAAAACAAATTGGTCACTTCAATCCACGACTGTTTGTGGGACACTGCTGTGTGCGATTGGCTGCCGCGTTTTTCCCACAGAATATACAGTCAATTCACTTTACAGTATATTCTGTGAAGCGCTTTGAGATGTCTCATCTTGAAGAAGTGGCCATATCAAATGCAAGGATTATTATATATTATTATAATTGCAGTAGCAATCTAACACTTAAAAAGCAACAACAGTAGCAACTGACATTAGATCCTGTCATTGGCTCACACAGGCCAATATGAAAAAAGAGACTCAACTGGGTGGACAGCAATTGGCTCAAAACAAAAACACGTGCTTTCTCTGTCCAGGGATAAAATGGGAGAATCATCCCCACCCCATAATTTTCATCTATCCTCTCAGGGATGCATCAACTCATACAAAGATACCAGTCAACAATTGTTTACCTTACCCGAATTCCCATTCGTATTGTATGAATCTAGATAGAGATTATCAGCTGGCTATCGTATCATAGGGAGCATTACAGCTGACCCAACACATGCTTACCAGCAGAGGCCTCAGATAGCAATCAGGAACAGGAGATCTGCCTGATAATCTCCCCAGCCCAGCCAAGAGCAACTGAGTCTGGGTGGGAGGAGGAGAAGAGTGCATGACATTTTATTAGCAAATTCACAGCACTCAAGTAAGGAGTACTGTCCCTTAGCAAAACATCTTACCAAGTTTATATAATAATAAACCTTGCATTTGATATATATAAACACACATATGCAATTACATGAATTGTTACTCAACATTGGTCTATGAAAATATATATTTTCTTAAATTAAGTTATTCTAACCATCTTCAGCAAGCTTTATGACACATGATATTTCTAGTTGTTCCAAAACGTACACCTGATATGTTTTCAATTGGACAATAATGGCCTTTTAAAATATAAAAAACATTCAATCTTAAGTAAAACTTAATTCTGGCTAAGCTCTCAAAAGAAATGTTTTCCATTGAAGTATTGGACATTAACCTGCCATTGTAAAGAACTTCAAACACTATTTAAAAATCACATAAAACAGTTCAGTTAAATTAAGAATTGTAAGTGGACTACTAAAACACAGGCTACTGAGTCCCTAACATCTTACCTTCAAAGCACAGAAGATACAGGATTCACCCATACATTTGTGAGTGGTCAGCTGCCTGAAACTCCTCCGAAAAATATCTAGATGCCAAAGGACCTTTGGTGAAAACATTCATAAAAGAAATTAGACAAATCATTCAAGTTTAATTATAAAACAATGATATTTAACTGTAAAATAGAGGGAGGAGGGAGGCCACCATACAAATTCTGAGTTTTTGAACCTCATGTCAGTATGAACATTGTTCTCATCAGTTATTAAACCATTCTTCCTGTTGACTGAGGTACCAAAATTGACCCCAACAGGTCCCAGTTCAATACTTTTTTTTGGTCAGGCGCGTTCGGACACATGCAGAAACCTATCAACATGCTTGAGAGTATCCAAACCTAACTGAGAATTCCATCTATCCCAGCTCACATGGAAAGAGCGCTAAATTGGTCTCAGAAATACTGGGCTAGGGAGGAAGGGGGTGGGGAGCCCAGGATCTGTGGGATCAGTCAGCTGCTTGCAGGAAAAAATGCATATCAGCATTCTTTCCAGCTCTGGATGCCAATCAGCTGGCATCAGAGCCAGGAAACTCTGAAACTAAACACTGATTAGCAACTATAGTGGGACCCAGTTATCAGGTGTCCCTCAAGGGGTTCACTCCTGCAAACTACCACAATGCAATTCATCTCAACATCAGATAAACAAAGTCAGTGAAAGGAAGACAGAAGAAAGATGCTTTGGAAGTTATTTTTTACATGACACTACAAAGCAGCAGTAGAGCGTCTAGGAGCAGATTAAAAGTTGCGTGTTCTATGGGGGGGGAATGGGGAAATGACATAAAAGTTCCAAAGCTGCACTAGAATAATATCTTATTGATGTAGGTTGTCTGGAACCACTCCAATGAAGTCTAAAGGAGACACAAGTTCATTTTATTTAGAGGTGAGCTACAAGGGCACTTTCTCCCATACAAAGGCAGTCAGTCATTAACAATAAATTCACTGATAAATGTTTGGATATAAGTAAAGCTGAAGATTAGTTCTATCATTTTTTTAGAAAAACAAAAAGATGTCATTTCACAAAGTTAAAAGAAACTAAAAAGTTACTAACAAGCATAAGTATTCAAGTAGGAATACATTTCAACTAATGACAAATTATTTTTATCCTAGCTGCAGTTACTTACTTAGATATCATGAATTCAAAGAAAATTAACAGGGCTTCATAAAACATAATGGCTAGCAAGGCAGACAATAATTCAAGGAGTGGATACTGGTACAATATTGAAGAGGATCACAGCTGCAGAAAGCTACTGATAAATAAAATACTTCTTTGCCGCTTTCCCCAAACACAGGTTTCTGCAGACCAAGAGGATAGGCTGAAAAACTGGATTGACTTGCCCGCAGATTGTTTATGTTTGAGTCAGCCTCTGGCCCCACCCAGCACTCTCAATAACTCTGAAATTTGTCTTGTTGGGAAAATCAATAACACAAGTGGCTAGTTAGTTAAACATTGACCAGTCCACTTTTAAAAAAAACAACTGAAACCCCAAAGCTTTACATTGGAGCACTATCCGGAAAGCTTCCAGCTGCTTCACCAGCTCCACCTACCCTACCAGTTAGAGCTTTGGTTCACATGATCAATGGGATCCAAGCACAATCAATCACTGCTACCAATCTGCACAGCCATGTCATGTGATGAGCCAGATTGGCTTGTCCGTCATCTGCAGTGCTCTGGCATAATCCAGACCCACCTGGCTCAGGAACTGGTTTCCAGAGAACGGAAACCAGTTCCTGAATGGAAATCAGTGCCAGAGAATGGCACAGGGGACTGACTGACATCTAACATTCCATTCCCAGGTATGTCATCTTGGTGTCAATCGCTTGAGGCATGTTATGTTACTTGGTATATTACATTAGCAAACATATTCTGGAAATTAAGTTTCATTTTTGTAAAGAAGTTTTGTGGAGGTGTTCCATTTGTACGCAAACACAACACACCTTTGATTCTTCACACAATGGGAATTTGATGTCAAAGAATTATAAGAAACAAAGCATGCCTCTGCAGAGACAAAACAAGAATGTCAGAGGCGTTAACCAACCCCACCTAGTAGATGGGTACAAAAACGTCAAGTTTGCTCGCCATCTTTCTCTGGCTGAAAGGGAAATGAGGAAGACTGAAATTCTTCAATCAACAAGTATAAATTGAACTGATATCTAATTAATAGAACAGGAAAAATAATACTGAGGGATGTTTCCATAGAGATCGAGTTGCAAACTGTTACAGGGGTGTAATAGTAATGCTAGCATGGAAACCAACTTGCTTAACCCTTTGTAATAGCATACTGTATTGCAGCACCGTTGATTGACAAAAGAATAGTACTCACCTGCAATGCACTATTAAGAAAGCAGCTGTTCTGACCAGGCTCATTCATCAGTCCTTTACTTGCCGCAATAGAAGTAGTACTACGTGGCTGGAACATACCCTGAAGATTACTGTTCGGTGTAAAATAATTCTTCCTCCAAGACATCTTCACTGTCTGAGTTGGGAAGATTCTAAAGCAAAATTGTCTTCTTTGTTGGAATTTAACCAAAACTGCAGATCATCTCACACTGGATGTAAAACCAGCCTGATGTGGATTAGGCTGTTTCACAAGTCACTATTAAAACTCAGACCTGCAGACAGACATCAAGCTATCGTCCCATTAAATCTCATCATGACACTTCAGGTTGAATCAGATGTCCAAACCAATGCCGTCCTTCTATTATGGTACTATTATCTTTAAGATAGATAGGATATTCTTGGACAGCTTCAATTGGCTTTGAAAGATTTATTATTGCTTTCAGCCCAGGAGAGTACAAGGAGTTATTTAAAGTCTTTAATCCATCCACATTGCTTTACATCCCACAGAACCACTTTTGTGACAGAAGAAGCAGATTTTCTTCACTCTCAAGTTTCAGAGTAGATATTCCAATTTGAACAAGGCAACATTTAAAAGCCACAAGTTATAATGAGAGTGAGCCCAAAGATTTCTGTCCAAAGATCTTCAAACATTATTTTAAAATGTCAACAGTGTTGAGCTTTCTTTGACAAACACAACAAACTCTACCAGAGCACTCCGTGGAATCAAATGTTGCGTCATGTTTTCCTTATTAGGCCAGTATTTTGGCAAACATCATGCTTCGTCTTTGATTAAGCTTTCTTGATAATACAGCTATGAATTCAGTCTTTTGAATCTACAGCCACAGGTTACACAGCTTAGCTTAATCCTGTATCAGGACATTAAAGTAATCAAGTATTTCAAGCTTAACACTCTCGGCCAAGTCAGCAGGATGGGCCTGTTTCCCTCGTACCAACTAGAATCGGCTCGGATAAATCAGTTATTCTTCAGCCCAAAAAGCACAAAATTCTGAAAATACAAGGAAAAAAAACGTTAGATATATTTTACATGCTGATTACTCAGTGCTGATAACTGAATACTTTGTAGCTACTGCTTATATCATTCTAAAATATCCGAAAATGATGGCAAATATACAAGTCTGCCTTTGACCAAATTAGTACTAAAACACATTAACTGCTAACTTCTCCAGGATCAACAATCATCTTAATATTAACAATAAACCATTAAAAAAAAATCAAATGAAAGACTCAAACAAATAATTAAAGATGTAGTATATGCATTACAATCGGTCTCAACTGTATTACAGAAAAGGAAAATAACCACACCATATTACTCACACTTCCTCAAACTACGTCAACCAGCTTTGGAAACAATTAAACCTTTTAAACCATATGATTCAAACATTAGAGAATGAATTACACAACAATGAAGTCATCAACCATAATATTTGACTACACTAATGCAAGAGACTTGATCGAGAACATGGTTAGCTTGACGATGATTATTGAAACCATTTAAAAAAAACTAAAGAGAAATGCCATACCATTTAAAAATTGACATTTATTTTTACAACATTTTTGCTTAATATTATTGACACGAGTAGACTATCTGGGAAAGAGTTAAAGCCAGATACAGTGAAGAAACCAAACAATGGTGTTAATTATGTTTCAATGACTCATTTAAAACAAATACATTGATCCTCCTACTTAACTGTACAGAGTCACTTTTCCTGGTATTTTCCACATTCACGATTATAAAAGAAACAAACTAAAATTGAACAGGTTCTTTTTTAAAAAGTGGGAAAAACAGAAATGTAACACAATGTATCGGAAGATATATTTTTGGTTTTCTACTTTTGGTATTACAAAAACGTAATCAATTGTCTTTTAAAATACAACTTTCCAAGACGTGTAGTATTTTGGTCCAGACGGCACTTAGGGTTATAATTAATTACAAGTACTGTATAAGTTAAAAACAATCTCCAGTGTTTTATGTTTCAAAATACATTATATATCTATATATATATATAATCTGTCGAGGCTGGAAAATAATCATTTGTGTAATTAGTCCCCAATTCATGGTAACTGAAGCAGAGTACACTTTGCTTTCGTTGTGTACGTACGTGCCTGCATTGTACAGTTGTTGAAAGAACTACACCACGTTCTTCATCAGCTATGTCACAAGTACAAAGCAGGCACACCCTATTTTGTGCTGGCCAAATGTAGAACATAATTCTCCTAAAATTGCTTTTGCTGAGCAAGTAAAGAATCCTGTAGTTAACTTCTGCTTCCTGCTTCCTGAAGGAAAACAAAGTCCAAAGGCACTCAAAACTCTGGTTGGCTCGACCTGAGCTGGCCCCATTTTTAATCTACCCAGTTCTGCAAATTGCTGCGCCTGTGCGTGAATAAGTACGCATACACATTTCAGCTGCCTTAACATGGACATAAATGAGTTTATCTGTATAAAGACAAAGTAGGGTAAAAACGTACAGCAATGAAACAATGTTACAACTCAGCCAAACACTTTATCAAAAGACAAAAGTATTGCAAAACAGAGATCCTGTAAACTATCTAAAGGAGAATACATATTGTAGAAATGTTGAGTTTCCTAAGAAGTTGTAAGTACACAAGCCTGTTTACAAATGACATTTTGCAAGAGTTGAAACTCTTGCTATGATTGTGGATCCCATTTATGCAATCCAAAACAAAAAATATTTTTTAAAAAACACATGATGTTTTACTTTTGAAATAGGCAAATATTCAAAGTTATGTTGGATTATATGTTCAAGTATAAAGATTTGCATGTGGGCTTGTCTTTATTCGGGAGAAAGGAATGATTATTTAAAACTAAAGAAGTGCCCTGATATCAGTGCATCAGCTTAACATATGAAGGGCAAAAACCTGTCAAGTAAGCACTCTGGAAAATACTTGCTGAGCGCTTATTGGTCTATGTTTTATCAATCTCACAGTTCAGATACTGTAAAATGGAAGGTAATACAATTTATATTAGAAAGCAGTTTCCAAATATGGATACCATCCGCTTTCTGAAATTAACCAAAATAATGTCCGATCACGAGATGGTAATTCAGTGAAGTCACAGTCTTACTTTGAGCTTAACTTAATGTCCAAACAGATCAATTTACATCAGTGTCATAATCTGCCACAACTACGACCAAGTGGTACTTGTTCAAATGTTATAAGTACTATATGAGGCAAACAAACAATCTAATACTCCTGACGTCAAAGCTTCAAACATTATTTACTTTTAAATAAACACCAATGAACACTTTTCATAAGGTGGTTTCCAAACAACTGTACTCAACACATTTGAGAATGTGCATTTTGTAGTCCTGATTTGTAAATTATTGTAAAATTGTAAATTATTCATCCACTTTCAAGAAAAACGTGTTGCATCACAGCATCAATTATTTGAAATGCTGTAGCTTCAAAAACAACATTGTTCCTGTTTATCATGAGCTCAAGTTAGTCCAAATTTGGTTAAAAAAATGTAGCTCAGTGATTGGAGCACTCGTCTCGCAAGCGAGAGACCTGGGATCGATTCCCAGCAGGGCAAAATGTTGGGCAAGTTTCCTTATTCCACACCCATTTACCTAGCAGTAAGTAGGAACCCGAGTGTTAGTCGATTGGCAGATCGCTTTTCCAGGGGTAATAATTCCTTCAAAAAATTAATAATAAATTGGTTACTTGAATCCACGACTGTTTGTGGGTCACTGCTCTGCAGAGTTGGCTGCAGTCTTTCACCCACAGAATACACAGTCAATTGACTTTACAGGATATTCTGTGAAGCACTTTGAGATGTCGCGAAGACGTGATGAAACGCAAGGATTATTAAGTATTTTCTCCTCCCTACCTCTTTATATCATTACTTTTTTTAAAAAAATTCTGCAGGTCAGGTCCATTAAGCAACGCTGATCAATGGACTGCAGTCATGCCATTAGGTCTCATCCTTCTGCCCTTGATCGAGGTCTATAAATTATAGATCCCTAAATTCAGATATCCTGCTTTTCAATGTGTTATAATAATAATAATCCTTGCATTTGATATAGCGCTTTTCACGTCGGGAGGATGTCCCAAAGCGCTTCACAGAACACACTGTAAAGTGAATTGACTGTATATTTGTGGGCGAACGCGGCAGCCAATTGCGCACAGCAATGTCCCACAAACAGTCGTAGATTGAAAATGACCAATTTAATTATTGTTTTTGGTTTTTGGAGGGATTATTATTAGGCGTGTGGAGTAAGGAAACTTGCCCAAGGTTTCGCCCTGCCTGGAATTGAACGCAGGTCTCTCGCTTGCAAAGCGAGTGCTCTAACCACTGAGCTACAGGACTCCTGTTGTATAGTTCTAGCTCGGGGTTCCAAGCAGCTATTTAGAGTTAGCCTAGCCTTAGACCATTAGCTGCAAACAGATATTGGAATCTAATATTATTCAACATAACTGCATCTTCCTGACTCTCATACCTTTGGAGAATCAGCCTTAAAAAATTTACATTTCATCTCTTCGAATATTATTTAATGCTCCTGCTTCTAAAATATGCTTGAGATTTACACTACAAATAATCAAGCCTGCATGTATAGTTTCATACTGTCCAGTAAGCATTTTTAAAATAAAAATATAGGTTTGTTGTAAACTTTGAAATAGACTGTATATGATAATGTTTGAAGGGTCCAGATTTTGACTACAGTATTTCCCATTTCTGCACCTTAAAGTTAAAATCTGAGGTTTTCTTTAAAAAAAAGCAAATTAAACAGAACTACTGTTAATCTTGTTGTAATAAACCAATGAAAATCAATAGGATCTAAAAATATCCCCCTTTCCAAATCCTCCAAAAATGTAATTCCAGTGAAGGAAATTTTTTTTCTGCCCAAAGTAATTTTTTCCTGTTTCAACTCAAACCCAATAATGCTGTTTGCAATTCTCAAACACCTATTTACAATGCTACACTGCACTCAAGCTGCGTTATCACATGAATCCAGCAATGGTACTGCACCTGAGCGAATTAACTGTTGAAGATTTCTACAAAGTGACTTATGATGAAAGTATACAATACTAGCAGTTACCATTAGAAACAAGCCTGCCAAGCCAAAGCACATGATTACAAAAGGAACTGAACAAATCCCTGAAACAAGTCATATAGCATCTTGTAGGCAGTTCAGTGAAGCAGCCAATGAAAGCTGTGCAGATAAACAATTTTAACAGCAGGGTGAATTGTACAAAGTCTCTTTTTGGAGGGGGGTATAACTTCAAAATAGGCATTTGGAAAATGTTTACAGTGAAACACAAGTTCAGAAAATTAAATTGATTAAATAAAAGCTATATCTGGCATATTCTGGAAGCAAAACATTTCTATTTCACAAAATGTAATGACCTTGTGCATCTTAGGAGTAATACAATAGTGTGCCGTATTCTTGTGAAAGAGTCGAACAATCTGGGTAAAAAATGAGCTTCACTGAGAATACTGGAAAGCAATCACCTCCAAAATCGCTGAAAAAAAAATCAGAGACACTGCTCTACTCAATCTTCTAAATGATCCAGTAATTGTTAGGTTTACAGCACTACTTTATTTTAAATCAACTTTTAGTCAGATATCTAACATATGACTAAATGTATGGCCCTTTTAC